CATCTTTGAAATGTTGCTTTTCAGTCTCCAAATCCGTCAAGACCTCGTCGCTATTGTCACTGGCCATGGTGAAGGAGAATGTCTCTATAGACTGATTTGTCCTGAGTAAAATTTAGCCTTTCAGATCACTGTGATCACTGATGCTGGTACAGTCCCGGCCAAAAATGTCAACATCCAAAAGTACATACACACTTGCAATGGAGCCACTCAAAACTATTCGAACCGTGAACCTGGTGAACCACTGCAGAACATTTCCATTCAACGACGACGACACTCGAAGATCTACTCGACTCGAGAGTCAAGTACATGTACTGAGTCTGTACAGAGATGGGCCCTCGGGGGGATCGGGAGTCGACACGACAACGACCGAGTGCTGTGTGTGTGTGTGAAAGATTTGAACAAGTGAGTAGTAAAAACACGACTCATGGAGTCATGCGGACCTGCAGCGAGGTCCTGTTATCATGGTTATATGTAGGGAGTAGTAAAATACTGCCATGCTGGTAGACTGTCACTCGCGCGACGCCGCACGAGACTCGACTCGACTCGTCTCGAGTACAGTACAGTGGTACTCTAGATCTACTGTGGAGTGGTGTTATTTTGCCCGTACAAGAGGCTCAGTTTTCCGTGTGGAAAAAAAAAAAAAAAACTGTGGAGTGGTAGTCTACCGTAGATCTACCCGTACCCGGGCCGTACCGTAAATCGTACACAAGCACATGCACAGTCTAGTCATGATCTGATCAGATGAGGCAGGAAAAAAGTGACGCAAAATGAAAGACCGTCACAAAAAAATCAAAATGCGCGATATGACAGATCTACGAACAGCGAAAGGCAAAAGAGCTTGCCGTCGTCCTGTACTTTTTGGCGAGGTCCGGGCCAGAGGAAGAAGACTGTTGTCTCAAATCAACTCGTACTGAATAACTGTGTAGTGTATTTGTGTAGTTCTGGCTAGTTTTAGTTGAGTTTGCCTTGCCGTAGGGCACTGTGGGGAGTGTGGGCGCAAAACCTGAGGCACACTCGTAGCGTTTCCTGAATAAATGTGCCGACCTGGTGAACAGTGCTGCACAATGCCTCCCAATTGCAATTGCAAACATGGTGCTCGTCTCGGAGTGGCATAGCTTCCATTCCTGCCAGTTGGCAGTGTCTCATAAATTGCTCCCGTTGTTTATTGCTCGGATGGATCCTCAAGCTATTTCTGATGTTGCCGGTGGTGATGCGGGAACGAAAAAGAAAAGTTCCTTTCAAATTACCAGTGTACGAAAGGGAGATACTGCCTCTCTATCGTCTGATGTTGGAGCTATCGATGAATTTGATGTAGACGCAGATGAAGGTGAAGCTGATGGTGACGAGGAGGAAGATAACCTCTCGGGATCTGTGAGCTTAGACCAGCCTAATGAAAATGGTCACCTTGCAGACACTGGTCTAGCAGCGCCTGATGTTCCTCAGTCACAGTCCAAATACAGAGTAGTTCGTATCAAGAAAAATAACACCTCAGTCGATAGGAAGTTTCATCGCGGACGATGGGACTGCTGGGATTTTGTCAATGGGAACGGCGGTGAGCAAACTCATTCGCCAGGTGACGCCCAGAATCAAGAGGAGGAGCAGTCAAGAAAAAACTCCAGAAAGCCTTCTGACATAACTGTTGAAGAGCCACCTTCAGACAATGCTGTCAATCACGATGAATCTAAAAGAAATCCCAGTGCTCCAGCTACTGGTGGTGAATCTAGCACCAGTACAGGCTCTCGGCCATCTGGCTCTGGAAAGAAAGTTGCTTTTGGACCTGTTGCCACCGCTACCGCAGTAGCAACAACTGGTGCAGCAACTGCAGCAGAAGACACTACACCTTCTCAATCGAATGGGTAAGATGTGAACTGTGTGTAGCTCATGATGCTGTAAATGTGTCATGTGTGTGTGTACGTGTGCATGGTGCGCTTACTTTAAGTTCTGCACATGTGTGGATGTGTAACAAATAATAGTATTAAAATGTTATGTTTTAATGGGCAGAAAAATTTGCTTCAACTAACTGTGTGGTGCAATGCCAGGGTCAGAGTAATGGTGGCCAATTCCTCATCCTTGTAAGCTGCTAAATGGTGTAATCCCGAGCACAAGCTGCCGTGTCTAACATAACTTATTCGCTGTCCCCATTACAGCACTGGCCACATGTGCATACATGCATGCATAAACAAGAGTGCATAACTTCCCAGAGTGTGCAATCCACATACATCTCCGTCACGTCATTTTTTGATGTGATGCACCTCACTGTATACAAAAACTGCTTTGTACGTGATCAACTATATTAGATTATCCAATACTAGTACAGTATTAGTGTTAGATAAACCTTGTTATAGTTCACACACATGTTGCTGGTTTGACAGCATGAAACAAGGTGGAGGACACCGTGTTCGGAAACAACCGTGGATGGTTGTAGTAAGGTCACTGTTTCCGAACACGGTGTCCTCCACCTTGTTTCATGCTGTCAAACCAACAACATGATCAACTATGTATCTCAACTGTACACAAAGGTCTGGATGTATCATGAAGAATGACGTAATTCTGAAAATGGGACGTAACAGCTACTTGTCAGCAGTTGCACACTTTGGAAAGTTATGTACTCTTGATTCAGGTTGTGCGTGCGTGTACTGTGTGCGTGTGAGAGTGTGTGTGTGTGTGAGCGTGTGTGTGACAGAGAGTGTGTGAGAGAGTTCTTCGGACTTCAGCCGTTAATGGCAAAAAAATAGCTTGTAGGAATTAGTACCGGCGTATTCCTGGCTAAAAAAAGAACTTGCGTTATTCTGTTACTCCCTAGACTTCGGTCACCACAAGACAAGTTCAAATTGAAATAGCCCCGAAAGAGATGAAAATGTAGATTTCGAAATAGTTGTCTTGCTCAGCTGCTTGTCAGGTCTTTCAGTGGGCTCCCAGCTACGAGTAGAGCCAACAGTACATGACCCCCAGAAGTGTACCTCACATCACGTGACAAACCTGTACACACTATTTGCACCCTGTGCATGGTAGCTGCAGGGTTGTGTGCTACCTGATTTTGGGTACAATTCCCGGGTGGTCGCTTTGCACCGTTTGCCAATGTAACCTTTTGAACCATGTCGTGTGATATGAAACTCTGCCATCGCAGCACTCGATGGAGATTGTACAGGCAGCTGTGCACTCCTGGCGGTTATGTACTCTCGTTAGAGCTTGTAGTCACCGGATCATCAGCTATATTGTTGTTTACTTGGTCATTTTCTTAGCTCCGAATATCATGGGAAAGTTCACTACAAGCATACACAGTGTGATATCAGCTCCTCATGAAAGGTCATGAACTGCGTGCGGTTCTACTCGCAAATGGACTAGAGCTGGTTGTACCTGCCAAATACAAGGCAATTCCCCCTCACAAAAGTGATGGTAATCTTCAATGCATGCCTCCCATTGGCACATTGCGTGCTACACCCGCCGCATCCTCAGTGTGTGACCAGTAGCAAGCGAAGAGGAACTCTCGTCTCGTATTAAGGCCATGCCATTACCAAGCTGGATTCCCACAGCCAACACATTCATTCTCAAGCCCTGACAAAGTCCTATTTTAGCGCCAAATGATGCACACGTCCCGTCTACTTTGGTTCAAACTAAGAACGTTTGACGTCATCACGAGGGGAATGGCCTCCCCTGGTAGTGAATCGTTATTCCAACATTTCAGTGCATTCCTATTATCCGATTCAGCTCCGGTTTCCCAAATCAACACATGCACAGCTCAAAGGCATGAGCGTAGCCGGTCCGGTCCCCCTTTCAGGAGGTGCACATCCGCTTCACCAAAATATTCGGAATATGTAGTATTTGAAGTTGGAATATCAAACGTGTAGGATGGCTGGTGCATGTCATCATGGTCATTATGTGCATGCTGAACCTAGGTCGAACTTTTTAGGGGGTGCCCATACCCCATGCGGGTTAACGCGCATGTCAACGGCATCTATCAAAAGAGGACAGGGGAAATACCCTTTTTGGGGGATTGGAGTTCCCCTTTCAAACAATATGTTCTGCTGCTTGTTTTGATGTATTGTACTACAGCAATGAGCCGAGGGCAGCGGCTGATCATCTCCTTGTAAGTGCAAGCAAGAGTAGTACACTGTAGTAGTACACTGTGTGTTTGTGAAGATGCAATTACCTGTATCCCTGTCTACCAATCGGTAATGTACTACCTCATGCCATGACCCATGTTGATGAGGCATTGATGAATTTCTGGGGGGGGGGGGGGGGGGGGGAGGGTGGTATGGAGTCACACTTGAGGTAGTGGAGGGTTGACTTGTATATTTTTACTTGGGCCATAGCCGTTTCAGGGTCAAACTCGGCGGCTGTGCAACACCATAGCTGTGTGCACTGCGGTGCCGGTTTCCATTAGCAGTCTCTCCTCCTTCTGTAGGCCGTTTGGGGGCTGAGGAAGGAACTGATGTCTAGTTTCATTGCTGACAGTTGTGTACTATGCAACTGAGACTAAAATGATATGCACTCTATCTCATGCACATGTATCTGATGTCTATTGGCGTATGTCAACCTGCAGGCGGCTGTAAACGACGCAGTTCGGAAATTTTCTACAACCCAGCAGCAGGAAGTCCAAACCCTGAGAGTGGAGGTGAATAGCCTCTCACACTCGCTGGATCAGTCAAAGAGTAAGGAAAAGTCAGCCACATCGGAGAATTCTACCCTTCGAGAGGCCAACGATAGCTTAGTGGGGGAAACGAATCGACTCACAGGGCTTGTGCAAGAGCTGATACAGGACACCGCCTCCTCGGCAGATCTCTTATAGTAGTTTATTCCGCTCTTCGTTTTTCATATTGATCCTCGTTGTTTGGTGCTGACGTCGCTGCCCTTGAGTTTCATACTAGTGTATTATCCAAATTGGAAGCAGTGTTCACTTCCATAAAACCATTCTTTTTTGAGCCATGAAACAAATGTCCCTTCTGTCATGTGATGAACATGTGACCGTGCGCTACATCCACCACACCTCTTTCTGACGACGACGGCGACGATGCTTTGTCTCACCACGGCTTTTGTTTAGGCTCGATATCCTTGAGCGCCCCTTTTTTTACCCTGCCACATTTATTTTTTAACACACTACTACCCTAACACTGGATGGCACAACAAAAGATCCCTCCGCTGCCTTGACTGCTGTTGTCACTCCATAGGTGGAGTGGTGGGAGCAGTAGGAGAAAGGGGAGCACCACTTCCTCTCTGCCTTTGACCGTTCTTCTTTTAAGCGCTTGTCAGGCTACTGTTACTTTTCTTACTCCTTAGCCAGTACGCCTGTACTGTGTTGTCTCTGTTGCTTTCTCTCCATCTTCCTCTGCCCCTGTCTCCATCTTGGCTGTCTGCTTTCATATTAATTATTTTGGTCTTTTGTGCAACTCGCCTTGATGTCAAATTCCGTGCCGAAGTATGCCATAGATCTTGACCTCATCTTGTCTCTGTATCCTTCCTCATGTTTCCTTCCTTTCCAGCTCTTTTGTATGTGATGTATAATATTCATCCCAGCCTCAGTTTTGTTGCTGGAGGTACAATCTTGTCATTTACTGGGCAAGTCCCAGGATACTTGCTACAAGTACACAGCAGTAGGTCGTTGCGACCATGATGCACCGAATGCTTTGGCTGAACGTGATCGATGGCGTGAAATGAAAGCGACACAGTGCTGTATGCAGCAGTCACCTGGTTACAGTGCATGTGGATGTTTTGCGATGTGTTCTTGGTGTGGGTGTACTCCCGATCGACCAAAACACTACAGTCATCGTCCTATTGATCAGCTGCATGCAAGCTGGAACTGGAAAATACAAGGCTAACGCTTTACTGGTAGACACCCGTTATGAAGAGCCTCAGCTAGCAGACCCTGCAGTGCTTTGATTCATACCATCTGATTCTGTGATTCTTCATTTGACACACTTCGGTGGGGTTGCGGAAATTCAATCTGTTTTTAGAACTGTTTACGCTCATTTCCCTTGCAGAATTGCAGCAGAAGTTGGAAGGATTTGCAGAATTAGCGCAGAATTTACTGTTTTCAGCCGCAGAATTCTGCACGGAATTTCTGATATTCTGCCACGGAATTCACGGGGGACAGATTGCATCCCTGTTGCAAGGATAATGGGCATAAAAACGCAACCACGCCCAATTCAGTCCCTGTAAATTCCAAGCATTTTTTGAAAATTCTGAACCGTGTTGAAAGCACGATCCGCGATTCTCCAGAAAAGAAATTTTCATCCTTTTCGGTGACATCATGACTCGAGCTTACAAAACTGAATTTCATCACTACGAAACGTGGAAATAGTTTTTCCCGAAATGAATTTGTGAAAAGCAGTAATTGAGTGTGATCCAGTGTTGCTCACGACCCACTTTCATCAACACGGTACACTAGTGTGTGCTCTAGCCAGCAGGTATAGAAGTATGCACTCTGAAGTGCGGATTGCAACATTAATTTCCATGAGGTTCACTTTTTGCTATGCAGAATGGTTCATGCACAGTGCTCCTCAATAAATCCAGTCGCGTCACTCAAGCATGACGCGACTGGATTTCATTGAGCAGCTAGCACTGTACTGAAACATGGCGTGCAGGCTGCTCACATGGCAGGTCAAAGCATGCAGCAAGCAAACAGAAGTCCAGCCAGACTGAGAGATTGTAGACAGAAACAGAGTAGATCTTGGCGTGCAGGCTGCTCACATGGCAGGTCAAAGCATGCAGCAAGCAAACAGAAGTCCAGCCAGCCTGAGAGATTGTAGACAGAAACAGAGTAGATCTCCACTGAGTGCCTCATCCTGCACAAACCTGGAACTGAGGCTGGATATGGATGTGTTCAGCTACCGCATGCATGAGCAGCGGGGATGTTGCTGGAGAGAGCCAGCCCACGTACAGGCCACACCGGTACTTGCAGCTCATAAGAAACAATGCCCTGGCTGGTATTTGTCCACAGCATGTGGCTGCCAGCTGTTAGCGATACTACAAGCAGACTGCTGTCTGTCTAGACACGCCACTGCAAGTACATGTACAGAACTTACAAGACTACCCGCACCACCTGTATAGCCATGTACATGCCACAGCACAGCACAGTACAATCCTAGACTGACAAACAGGTGGTAGCAGTAGAGTAAAGGAAGAAACGACACCGTACACAAGGACAGGAATGGAATAAATATCCCACAAGGAAAATTCAGCAAAAGAGCGACTGGTTGAGATCCGGATCATAGCTGCCAGCAGCTAGGATAAACAAAGGCTAGATTGGCGTGAGCCACTTTTGACTGACCAACGGCTATATTAGTGCCAGTTACTATGACTGAGCTAATACTAATCTTGATGGCTGTGTTGCACATAACACATGCTCACACACACAGCGTGTGATTCATTCAGAAGCAGGTGTCCACGACAATGTCTGTAGCCATCGCACTGGGAACTGACGGCCATTTACGTGTGTGCTGCTTCGGGTCACTCGTGACTACAATTCTTGCATTTAGTCATGTCCAGACGAAGGATGTCATATGGCTGGCTCAATCACCACAAATGCACATGGACCCTAAAATCCAGGAAGGCCATATACCGCCGGATCAAAGTCCTCCAAAGATGCCAGTTCTACGTGCGCCCTACCAAGCAAGGACTTGGACAGATGAGAGTCTGGAACCATGATGCAAGTCATGTTGGCCGCCAATGCAGCCTCTACACCTTGCGGGGCGTCCTCAAATACTAGGCACTTCTCAGGTGCTGGCGGCTCTGAGAATCGTGAAGCAGCGACGAGGAAAATATCCGGTGACGGCTTGGCACGCTTCAGATCAGGATCATCGCCGCGCACGCAGTGATGGAAAAGGGAAAAGAGCTCCTGCTTCTGGCTGGTCTTGGCCTCAAAGGACGATGAGCGAGAGCTTGTCGCGACGCAGATCGGGACGCCGTGGCTATGCAAGTGGCGGATCAGCCTTTCTGCACCTGAACGCACACGCACACACACACACACACAAAGCAGAGCATGAGAGAAGAGAAAACACGCATCCAATCAAATGCGTAAACGTAAAGCACCCTTGTGTCCAACTGCCTCGTTGCCTTCTAAACTTCGGGCAGCAGAGCATACCCAATGGAGGTTATGGGGGAAAAAAAGGAACCTGGGACACACTAGTACAGATTTACCTGGCATCAATTTGCACGTTGGAAAAAGCTCGTCGCGGCGTTTTCTCGTCTGGATCATCATCTCCTCCATGTCAGCCTTTCCCTCCAGCTCCAGCTCACGGAATAGGATCTGCCAGCCCTCACGCTCACTTGTACCCATCAGCTTGCCCTTTACCTCCCATGTAAAGTCCTTGCCGTAGCGGGATACCTGCTCCTGGGTTGTCAGAGTGTAGATGGACTCTGTATCTACAGCAGTGATAAATGGTACCGTCATTACCACACAGAAACGCGGACAGACAGATGGGCACATACAGACACAGACAAACACACACAACATGAATATCAGCGGATGGGATGTGAAAAAATGAAAGAAAATCGATAAGTAGTGTCACCGTGTTGGCACATGCTGCTGCTCTTTCCGGCAGCGTGAGCACTACGTCGGGTTGCCTAGCAACAACCTCATTGGACGTCAAATATGTTATCTACAATTGCAGATTTATTACTAGTAGTTCGACTTGTCGACTCGATGCAATTCTGTGGCACCGTTCGCTTTCAGACACCTCCTAAATGCTTACCGGTACCGTATTTTCTCAAATAAAAGCGCAGGTCTCCAATACTGACCCGGGGTGGCGTGGTGCTCTGTGTCGTATGTAAGATACAGTAAACTGTAATTAACTTAAAGACCACCGTGACTAGTGACCAGCCTGGTACTACAGGCCACTTCGCCAGGCACGGACGGTCTCACATTCATGTATGGTGGTGCAGTGAAAACCTCTAACTAAGGACCACCTGCCACTAAAGACCGCTTCCTCTGGCCCCGAGGGGTGGTTCTTAGTCACAGGTTTTACTGTAGCTCTATTCGAATGAATATTGAGCACTCTACCGAGCCGGAGGACTCTCATTTGTATGACTAGTTTCATACTTAGGCAGAGGGTTGATCGAGATGATCATTCGGTAATTCAGAACATGTAGTGTTGAAATTTTTGGAGAATACAGAAAGATGACTTCTCGGCCAAGGGGACGTTATTGATCAGCTACAGTCCATTTCAAAACTATAGACGCGTACCTAGGCAAAAACCGTTATGCCAGCATCTATACCACATAAAATCTGTGATCACTTTGTGCATAAATTTTTCCAAATTGGGCGTCTGTTATCCAATCCTTTAGAAACTATATGAGAGTAATTGTGGAGCGATCTTGAGCAATATTCCGAAAACTATTCTCAAAAAGTTCCAGCCAAATTTGAAATATTTCAAAAACCCTACGCGTCTATAGTTTTGAAATGCACTGTAGAGGTACACCTTAAATTTGAAATAGCCCCTACATTCCTCTTGCGAGCAGGCTGTAGAACTGAACACAGCAATCCACTGACAACTCAAATGTTTGGCTGAGGATGTTTTTTTCGTACACATTCAAACTTCTTACCAAGTAAAAGTCCATCCATATCGAAGATTACATGGGTGATCTTGGGCTTTGTGGATTCGGCCATGACGGTGACGAATGCGGAGCTTGGGTACAAAAGCTTGATGGTTCGAAACACCAGCCCACAAATGTCCGACACTGAGTGAAGCTAATTAGATTACTGTGCTATATGACTTGAAAGTCATTTTTGTCTTGACTTCAAGTACAAAAAAAGGTTAAAAGGGAATATTCTCCAGATCTGTACAAAAATTAATAATAAAATTCAATGACATTGACATGACTGTTGAACCAGAAGTAATAGTTGGCAGAACTCATCAGCCATTGGTGTACTGACTCGGGTCGACCTGGGGGCGCTAAAGTACAGGTTTACCCTGACACGTACCAAAAGTACATAACCCCCTCTTGCTCGTACTCGTAGTTTACGAATAGGGCTTGAAAGTGCTACGTCACAGCATAGCAACAATTTCAAAAATTCAAAAATTGGATCCACTTGGATCCAGCTTTTGTATGGATCCAAGCACATTTCAAGCCGTCTTACTCTCAGCAAGGTGATGTAACCAGTGAAACTGACTGATTTGGCTACTGGGAGCGGGGTTACAACTGGTGGCGAAATAAAAGTCACACCTGCATGCGACATGAGTGGGTTGCTATGCACCCACATACTTAGGCAATAGCAAAGTCACACCTTAGTGGATCCAAAAATAGAAATCTGATGACAACTTACTACTCCCTGGCCGTTTTGACGTCATCACTTTCAAGCCCTATAAACGGTCCATGTTCCAAGTCTCAGAGTCAGACTCAGAGACGCATGTACGAACTGTATTTCACTACATTGTACTGGTAAGTGACTACTTGTGTGCTCTTGAAAGGCTATTTTTTTTAAAAAGCATGTGAAGCAAGGCTGCGAAGCATGTATAAGCCTAATATTTACTTTGAATTGCTCTACATACAGCAAGCCACGCGCCCAGGCTGTCTGCAATAATGGTTCTTAGCCTTCAGAGTGTTCCGCTTCAGCAATGCTGTGCTTAGCTCAGCCTGGTTGTGGTGTCCTGTCAGGAGGACACCACAACCAGTGACTTCACAATGTGAAGTAGTCACTCTTCATCATATTCACTTACTTGCACATGGATGCCATAAATAGAACTCAAAAGGCGTCACCGCGATAGATTTACTGGAGCTGATATAAATACCATGTACATGTATCAAGAAATTGAAACTTCGGGCTGAGCGGGCAGATATGAAAATGAATAGGAGTGCACACCCTTGAAAAGTTGGATAAGGTGCAGTCGAAATGTGGCCGGCATTCAAAGGCACTGCCACCGACCGGAAGCCGGAGTTTGCGGGTGTTGAGATAAGCATATGTAAACGCACTGTCACGGCACTACTTGGTGCACTATACCAGCTGACCAGATTGTGCTTTGCCACTCGCAAACTCAATTGGTTGGGGAAGAGCATCTGCATGGGACACTGATTGAGCTGCCCGGTGAATGGCCACTAGCTCAGCAGCCACCAGCACCGCCACACCGCGGCGTATTGCACAGGCAGGGTTATTCTAGCTCTGAGAAAGTCGCCGTCGCAGTCCAAACACGACAAACGTCAGCACATAGAACACCAAGAGGATGCTGACAAAAATGGCAAAGTTGTTGTCGAGCTGCTGCTGCCAGGGCTTCAAGTTGTCCGCAAGGTAGGCATCGCCGGTGCTGAAGCACTGCGAGAGTGGATCAGCCGTCGCCGCGGCCGTCGCCACGACAACTGTCGGCAGTGCAGGTGACACGCTGGCTGCACCTGAACAATGCCCCGTACCGTTGCACGTCAGTGCACTTGTGGCGTTGTGCACACCGATCGCCGAGGTTGTATTCGTTAGCGGCGGCTGTGTGGAGACCGCATCATCGTCAGAGCAGCCGGTCAGATTAAGCCCTGCAAGTTCATTGATCTTCAGTATGTTACCAGCATAACCGATAGGCAGTACCAGGGTGATACCGTACAACCACATCGGTAATGTTGAACCCACTCTGAGAAAGGAAAGAAACAACAGAGCGATGATTGGCAATGTTTAGATAAAGTGCACATACATGTACATGCATTTTTAAAGTCAAGGCTAGTCCGGCTAAACAACGATGATGCATGCCTGGCTGTGTAACGTTACATTATTGTAGGGCTGGGTTTTACACGGTCATCGGGTGGTTAGTCATTGTGTGCACTTAGCAAGAAACTGAGTGCTTGATAGTGTGTGTGTGTGGGGGGGGGGGGGGGCTTGGACCACTCCAAGGAAGACCTTCATATACGCATGCTCCGTGCAACTTCCAACAACTTCTTCCTACAAAGCCCATCTACAGTGTACTTGTGCCCGGATACATTAAGTGAAGTTACCATACTAACCTGTAGGTGCCGGATGCAACGGCTATGCTGCCCATGATCCAGAAGGTGGTGGCAGAGTCGGCTGCCTGGATGGTACGGCACACACCCAGCATGAGCACCGCTGTCACTTCGCCGATGCAGTGGAGCAGGAGCACCGTGGCAAAGTAGGTGAAGAACGCACCTGCTTCCAGCGGGACACCGATCAGGCTGCAGTGCAAGGAAAGAGGGAAGAAGTGTGTGATTAATACGCAATGAGAGCACAATGCTATACCGTTTTGCATAGTGAGAAGATGAATAACTGTTTGAGACATAGGCTAAAGCGGACTAGAAGTCATAAAATAATTATGTATGATTCGGAAAGGTCTCCACTGCTGGGATGAAGACCACACGCACCATACTCCATAGCTTAGTGCTAGAACATCACTGGCCTATAGCAAAGTCTGATTCCAGTCATGGTGGTGGCAGTTCTCTTCTCACTCCTCGAACTAATGCATACTTATACTTCCTAGGGAAACCGAAACACTTAGTGACTTTGATCCACAGTCTGTTGTGGTGAATAGAGCTCCGAGGAATCGAGCGATGATGACTCGGAGTGAGGCTCAACTGGTGCAAGTTCCTTTTGTACACCTACAAGTACATACTTTACAGAAGTATTTCCACTCACTGTAGTGGACTGTTTTCCTTTCAAGAATCAAGTTTATCGAGCACAGTAACACCTTAGAGTGTGAATGTACGAGTCGTGAAGTTTTTAGTTTCCGGAGGAAAGTATTATTATAGGTATGTAGTGCAGTGATCTGTCAGTGCCTCAAAGTACATGTATCATGTACGCTTTAGACTACAAGCAAAGAGGTCCCCATCACTCCACAGCCCAATAGCCGTGACAACTTACACGTAGACAACTAGCGTCCACAGAAGGCTGCTGATGACCGCAAAAGGAAAGCAGTGTAAGAAGTAGGAAAGTAAGAAGAGAAACGAGCCGTACAGGCCTTCCTTGGACTCCCGGCGGTACAGATCTCTCAGCGGTGGACCTGCAGTGAGCGGAGCCGCGCACCATGTAAAACGCATACAAATACTCACAATCAACCAACGACGAGGACGGCGGAGTGGCAGAGCAGAGACGCACACTTCTCCGGGACGTCACCCTCCATGCACACGGTGTGGCAACTCATGCAGAAAGATGCATACAATGTTTACGGCAGACAGGCGCTTTACCACATAGACTAGGAATGTGTTGCTAGAAAAAAGAGCAAAGCTATATCAGGCTGCCTAAAGTGAACCACCAGTTTCCAATGGAAAGCTCCAGTCAAATGCAGTACACCTGTCAAGGGAAGCACACCACCAATGACCATGGTCCACCAGTTCAAGGGGACTACTACAGCCAAGATCAAGTGCATGGTGCAATGTGCAGTCAACAAACCTGGTGTAGGGGGGGGGGGGGCACCTGTATCCAGTCACCACCTGTGCAAGAGCATCTGTTTTGGGGTCCCTTTGAGAAGCGAGCCTAAGCAGATTTGATGGTACACGTAGGCAAACACAGTATGTGTACTTGCAAGTACCAAGGCGCACTCTTCTACATCACCGAGACAAAACTGTCACTTACACAAGTTCATAGCTGTGACCGCGGAAGCCAATGAGATCTCGACGAGCGTTTCCAGCCGAAAGCCGTTTCGGTCCTGAAGAGATCGCTGGTCGTCTCTGGAGCCCAGTCGTGTGAAAAACAAGAAGAGGTAGATCGCCAGGATTGGTAGCTGAAACGCTCGTGCAAATACTGCACTGGAGCTGCGAACCGTGTTCACGAACGCACGTCTACGTGTAGGATATGTGGAGACAAGAGCAAAGGTAGAGCAGTAAGACAGTAAGACAGAGAGAGAGAGAGAGAGAGAGAGAGAGAGAGAGAGAGAGAGAGAGAGAGAGAGAGAGAGAGAGAGAGAGAGAGAGAGAGAGAGAGAGAGAGAGACAGAGACAGAGAGACAGAGAGACAGAGAGAGAGAGAGAGAGATTGAGAGCGAGAGCGAGAGAGAGAGAGAGAGAGAGAGAGAGAGAGAGAGAGAGAGAGAGAGAGAGAGAGAGAGAGAGAGAGATTGAGAGATTGAGAGAGAGAGAGAGAGAGAGAGAGAGAGAGAGATTGAGAGCGAGAGAGAGAGAGAGAGAGAGAGAGAGAGAGAGAGAGAGAGAGAGAGAGAGAGATTGAGAGATTGAGAGAGAGAGAGAAGTTAAAAGGAAGGGGGGGGGTACATGTGTTGAAATAGAGAGGCGCATGTATGCCATGTATAGGGTAGGAGGGTCAGGCAGGCAGAGACCGTAATAGACAACATGTGCAACAGAGAATAAGTGAAAAGCAATAGAAACCTTGTCTCAAACACAGGCCCATCGTCTGGTCCAGTGTATGCGGTTCCTTGACTGTGGATTTAGAGCAAACTACGTACTTTGTGAGAATCTGCAGTCTGCGCCAAGGTGGCGGTCCTTCCACTGGTCGCAGGCTGCCCAGCTTTACAAGGCTCCGTTTCCTAGCGCGCTTGGTAGCGAGTGGCCGTAATTCTTCCACAAGCTCCTTGTACTCTTCGGTGTCCTGATATGCCTCCTTGAGAGCAACAACACAAGCTGCTGTGAGCTCTTCCTGGTGGGAGCAGTTATTGTTGACGCTAGCTAGCTTCACTGGAAATAAGATGTAACACGGAGAAGACATACATGTAGAGAGCATGGGATTCAGGTTACAAACCGTACAATGTGCAAAATTACTTCAAATTGAAGTTCCATATTTTCTGTGGTGTTCGCTGCACTTGGTCTAATCTACACCCCCCCCCCCCCCCCCCTACGAGCACAGAGTTCATTTCTTTGTTGCCATTCGGTGTATAAGCCACACGTCAGACTTTTTTTGACGATTTAACTTGATGGGTATCGATACATACAAGACGCCACCAATGGTTAAACATTGAGAAGCATGACTGAAGTTCTACAAAAGCTGCCTAGTTTGTTCTTCACCCTGAACTGACAATACACTGTATGTAGAAAGATTTGTGCTAGTAGAATCATTCTACGCTAGCGTATGCAGTACATTGCTGCTACAAAAGTGGTCGATAGATAAACAAAGTGCAGAACTATTCACACACTTTGGCCTAAATGGATACATTTGTTGCTGATGATTCTGAGTTTTTCACAGCCAAAAGGTGACGAGCAGACAACAATAACAACCTATCATGGACTCGTGTTGTTTGATGATCGCCTTTCGGTGTGCAACTCAGAGTCACCATCGTCAAATACGTCCATGGCTTTGTCCACTTTTCGCTTTCTATGGTTGCCGGAAGACTCGGAACATGCCATGAATCTGCTACTTGTTTTGGATTTGCATGCAGAGCGGAGTATGACACAAAAGCTGTCGCATAATGGCTGCATTGCCTCACCAAAGTACTGCAGTGGATTGGCATCCAGCGGACAAGAGAAGCCAATGCGGTTAAAGTGCAGCAACATCTGCTCAGACGGACCAGCCCAGACAAGTTCGCCATCATTCATTAGCACAATGTCATGGAAAACCTGCCAAGAATAGAGAGGAAACAGCAGTATGCACAAGAAAGTAGGCAAAATCAGACAAGGATTCTAGAAGTAATCCTTCAAGAGGAAACCTTTGAGTTTGTAAACGAGCAACGGTACCTGCTGTCCAGTAACAGAACATATAAGCATATTCCTGATTGTGCTAACAGTTCACACAAACAAGTGCAACATGGTAAAATTCAATGATCGGGCGTGCATTCTGCATTTGGCTACACTTCTGAAGGGCGGTGGGAAGTCTTCAAAGGAGGATGCCTCAAGCCTAATGGTGCTACTTCAGCCTTTTGACAATTTAGCTAAAATCCTGAGCATCATCCTCTCAAGCCCCCTCCCCTCCTCCATTCCTTCCCTGAGCACTCTTCTTTCGTGCATCATTCTCTCTTGAATCTGTCAAGTGTCGTGTATGAGATACAGTACAACCTGAGACTACCGACCGCCCCGTCGGGCCAGAGAAAGCGGTCTTTAGTTGCAGGTGGTCCGGCTTTAGTTAGAGGTTCGCTCCGCACAACCATATACGAATGTGAGACCGTCCGTGCCTGGCGAAGTGGTCTTTAGTACCAGGCTGGTCGTTAGTCACGGTGGTCTTTAGTTACAGGTTTTCCTGTTCATATAATTCAGTTGTGTACTGGTATGATGATGTCACGGTACCTTGAAGAGATCAGAGCGGGGCTGATGAATGGACATGATCACCACGTGCTGTTGCTGCGTGAGCTTAGTCAGTGTGTACACAAGCTGAGTGGTGGTGAAGCTGTCCAGACCAGTAGTGGGCTCATCCAGTACAAGAATAGCTGAGAAACAATGGCGAGAAAGACACAGTTAGTTACACTCCACCTGCAGTACTAGTACGTGATGACATGATTGTGTATTTCAAACAAAGCAACTAGTCAGCCAGTCAACCTTGTGAATAGCGACCCTCGATCGTGCATGAGAAAAAAATGTCGTCATTAGCAAGTTGTGGCTATCCGTGAGGTTGAGTGTATACAGTAAAAAGGTCACTAGACCTGGAGATTGTGTCATTATTATTATTATTATTATTATTTTTTTTTTTTTTACGCTATTGCTGGCACTGGCATCTTGCTTTCCGGCCTATTTTAGCATTCCGCTCTCACCTTCATGAGGTTATGCCCACTTTGGTAGGACTGGAACCAGGGACCTTGCTATTCGAGAGCGATGCTCTAACCAGCTACACAGTATGATTCTCATCCATGGTGATGGCAAATCTATCCTTCTGCGACCAATCAATATCTGGCTTGCATCATACTGAGAGAAAAAGAGCAGTATGGGCGAAGCAGGTGGCCTAATTTCCTAAAAGGACTTCCAATCAAGTCAGTTTTATCAGGTTATATGTTGCACTCAGTAGCAAGTCAACCCATATGTGCAATCTCACCCCACCAGCAGTCACAAACTCCTTGCAAATTTAATGTCACAATCAATACTGTTGCCATGCCACTATGCACTGACATCATACAGGGATGTGACATCATACATGGCGGTGACACCATACAGGGCTGTGACATTATACAGGGCTGTGACATCATACAGGGCTATGAGTCTAAGACATCATACAGGGCTGTGACATCATACAGGGCTGTGACATCATACAAGGCTGCGACATGCTATAAGGTCGTGCCACCTTACGCAGTGCAATGTACAATTTTTTACAAGATAGCCACAAACCATCCTGGTGCAAACGCCAGCAAAAATGCACATACAGTCAACTTCGCTTATAACGACACTCGGCGGGGCATCGGAAAAGTGTCCTTATTCGCGAAGTGTCGTTATACCCGAAGTCTCATTATGTATTACAGTTGGATGGGACTTTGCTCTGGGCATGGAAATTCTGTCCTTATTCGCGAATTGTCGTTATATCCGCAGTCGTTATAAGCGAAGTTGACTCTAGATACACATAGCGATGGCAGGCGAAGCAGTGGAGGCAGGGCAAGAGCAGCTAAACTGACCAAGGGTCTCTGTATCAACACTGCTCATGCGCGATGAGATAATTATTATCTCAGTGGCAAGTGTAACATCAAACATCGTGCACGATCATCAATATTCTTTCAAAGTACTTACGAGGTGCGGACAGGATCTGCACGGCTATACTGACACGTCTTCTCTCGCCACCCGACAGTCCTCGGATACTGTAGCCATCCCCAATCTGCTGGTCAGCCACATGGTCTATTCCCAACTCTGTGAGTATTGCCCACAGCTGTCAAGACAGACAGAGAGACGGGACAGACAGAGATACGGTTCAGTGTTTTATGTGTCCTTGTTGACATCTCACATGTGTACTCTTTGCTCCCGGACAGCAGTCTGCTGCACTGTACCAAGGTATGATTGTGAAATCATCGTTATCAACCTGACTGAGAATACTGTTTCACAGAAATAGAGATATCAGGGCCCAGTCTGCCGTCCTGGCATTATCATTCTGAGCAGTGGTAGACTCACCCGTAGCATCAGTCTTCCTTTTGTAAGCGACTTTGCCATGCGCAGTTGGGCAGCATAGAGCAAGGTCTCCTTCACGGTGAGAGCGGGCAGCAAGCTGTCATGCTGCGCCACGTAGCCAACCTGGTCACACGTATGTGGGGATGCAACGTAGACATACATGTACATACATATACATGTGCACACAATACAATCATACCGATTGTCAAAGAAACACATACTTTCCTCAAATTGATAACCGAACACTTTAAAAATTCCTTACAGTGACAACTGGACAGTCTGTTTCACACACCTGCTTACACTGTCAGGTAGTGGCTCATAAGTTGGAGCTTTGAATGACCTCAATAGTTCGAGATAATCAGTCAATAACCTAGCATTTGATACACCTCTGAGACACGGCAGTTTAATGCTACTTTATACTGAGTTGAGCGTTTATGACTCAGTGTGCTGATCCTAATAAACCAGATTTCGAACCTGTACTGGTGCACACATCCTTCTGTCAACCCTGCAAGTGTGGGTCCAGCAAACTGTGTCGGCCCAGAGATCGGTACCCATACCAACATTGCACAAGGGGAGCCGCTGCGTGGCTCAGTACCGCCGGTACCATCCTATTTCATACCATGCCAGTACAGGGCCGTCGGCACCACTGGTGCGGCCGGTACGACCATGGCTGTGCCAAATTCTCAAAACGTCGGTCCACGTGGAACGTCCAAAACCGGGGAGGAAAAGTTTCGATGTATGATTTTGTACATGCAATAAACTATGTATAGAGATCTATAATAAATCCGTTGAACTATAATAGATAATTCACAGTCTGAAACTAGTGTATTCGGCATTGGAATATCAGACTTGCAAGTTGTACCCTGGAAATGCACCGAAATGAGCCCAGAGTGCAAGCTTTGCCTCCTAAATTCCTAAACTTTTCTGGGGAGGACCCCACACCCCCTTCAAAAGAGCACCGCTCAGTGGAAGCTGCCTCCGGCCCTGCATTACACTGATGGTACTCGTACCTACCCATCTCATCACAGCGTACCTACATGCTGTGATTTCTGGAGCATAAGCCGCACTTTACACATTCGTAATTCACCTAAACATATGCCTATACTACAATGGTCAAAAGAACCGTGCTATACAGGGCAGATGTCTGTATTTCGTGACAAAAACTTAAATTCTGAGTGCGGCTTATACGCCAGTGTGCCTTACACTCCGGAAAATATGGCACCCATGTCATCACATTGTACTTACATGCCCATGCCATCACATCGCGCCTACATATCCATGATTGCAGTCACGTTGATTGTACTTACATTGAACCTGACCCATTCTCTAGTGGAGCGCACTCCGTTGAACATCACCACCCCGTCGACGTTGGCCGTCTTGCGGCTGTAGCGCTTGGCTATCGTGTTGAGCAGCGTGGTTTTGCCGCACCCTAATACACAGCAGGTGCATGCATGCGTCACACATGCAGCTCGGCTGAGCACAATACCTCGCCAGGCGTAGCTGGCACATCTGTTGGGTGGTGACCTCGTACCAGAGCACATATGTGGTGTGGTGACCATAATAGACTGTACATCTGTGGTGTGGTGACTATGTACCATCGGTAACCTCATAGTCGCCATTTAGCCTATTTTGCCTATGTAGTACGTATGACGGTGTATTTGCTGGTGTGGTGTCCGGACTACCCTGGCTGTACGCAAGCGACGTGCCTGCCTCGGCAGAAGGGTATGTAATGGACACCGCGTGAAATGATACGCACTGGGGTCTGCCATGACGCCAGCCTGCCTGTTGCCTGCACACTCATTTAGCGTGCACAGGAGTCGGTCTTTTGATTGGTACACAGACTTTCCATACCAGACGCCTGGCTGTACTATGTCTGCACGCTGTTTGGTGGGTGAGACAACCAGTTTACAGAGGCTGCCTGTTTGTATTTTGTTGTCAGCATTGGCAAAAGACAGGTTGGTTCATGCACCATTGAGAGTTGGATTTGATAAGGAGTCAGCCTCTCTCAACATTCACCCCCCCCCCCCCCCCCCGTCTGCGCCATTCCCGTGTTCTTACCTGAGGGGCCCAGCACAGCAACCAAGCTGCCAGGGTCAATTTTCATTGTGACGTTTTTTAAGACTGCTGTTCCAGCACTGGCCGTAGCGTTCACGCTGCTAAGTGAACCTTTCTTTTCCTTCAGCCTGTTCCAAACCCTCCTTGGTACGCTCACTGATTCCGGTACTGTGTAGCTCACGTTGAAACACTCCACTGTGGTCGGTTTCAGCTCAAACTCCTTCATGTGCCAGCGGAAGGTCTGGTCGATCGAGCGTCGGCGAGCGTGCATCTCTCTTCTAGTAGTTGTGTGCGCTTCATCCTCGAATACGGAATCACCATGCACTTCCTGGGAGACAGCAGGCATCTCTTCAGTGCTGCTCCGCCGTGAATATCTTGTCTGATCGTACTCATACTTGACAGGTGGCATACCGTACACTGACGAGGCACTGGATGACCGCGAGGAGACGGAGCTACGTCGTCCACTGTCCAAATTGTCCACTCCTAGAAACATCCCACCAGAGGAGGATGGCACCTGCTCAGACCTGCCCATCGCCGGCTTGTCATTGCTTGGCATGCTGAGGCCAAGACTTGTGGGACGGGCACGCGGTTGCTGCGGCTGCGTCTGTGGGGATGACCTTCCACTGGAGGCTGCTGAATGCTGCAGCTTGAAAGTAACCGACCGTCGTCTGCCTCCCTGCTGTCGTGTAGAGATGTCTGCACGCTCCTGCTCAGTGAGCTCCGCACCAGCACCGGCGCTAGCAGCAGCCGCAACAACAGCCATATTACTACCGCCCGTCCGCCGTCCGGTTCTCATGACTCCCGCGACCAGAGCAGGTCCAGCTGCTGCTGCCGCTGCCGCAGCTGCTGCCATGGTTGGAGATCGTGTTACTGAGCGCACGCTCCTCGGAGTGGTGGTGCATGACTCGCCGTCGTCACTCCCCGCCAACACGTTGATGATCGGCGGAAACATCAGCGTGGAGGAGGGAAGATTGGCGCCGGGTGTGTTCAACGTGTCACGACTACCCCGACTACCCCGGGTGGACGGTGAGCCAGAACACGGCATGGCTTCGGAGAGATTGATGGAGATCGGCGTGAGAGCTCCATCATCCGGTGAGTGCAGTTGCGCTTGATTTACAGAGCCAATGCTTTCGTCAACAATGCTCGTTTGCGGTGATTCCCACCACGCCTGCACACGGACCAACAACCGTGAGAAAAGCAAACATGTCAAGACCAAGACATGAACTTTCTCCTTTTCTGTCACGTCCAGTACATTTGACCGAGATGCTTCCAACACACTCCGTGACATTGGACCACATCTACCCGGCCTGATCTACAATACCGGTACATTACTAATCTGCACTATAGACTACAGACTAGTGCAGTACACTTCTGTCATCATGTCAATGTGAGGCACTGAGTCTGTCCAGATGTAAGGATACCATGGCATGCATGTTTTACTAGCCTGCCTCCCTATCTGCCGAAGTCTATGTATGTTGTTCATGTTAGTACAATCATCTACCGACAAACATGTGAGGTGTGACGTATATCTACCATGTAACAAGAGATCTGGGAGCCAATCCGTGCCTCTACGACTGTACGAGTCAGCACTACCACTAGTCTACACTCACTAGTACACTACTCTGTGGCCCGTGTGGGTGTAGATGATCTACACTATACTACGACCACACTCTACAGCAAGGTCGGGCTCACTACCATGGCTACTAACCGGTTTATTCCCCAGACGATCATGGAGGGTTTTCATAACCCCCTCAGGTGATGGCAGTTCATCATTGTCACGACGCAAGGGAGTCGTTGGTACGGAGACGCTGCGGACGGCAAAACGACTCCTCAGCTGGCCAAGATGCAAGCTCGCCGCAGTGTCCAAGCGCCGCCCGTCATTCTCTGCAGCATCCGGCGCAGTGATACCTTTGCTTCGTCTGTGGTCGGCCGGTGGAGCGCTCCGAACGCCGCCCGCAACAGCAATGGGAATGGATCCGAGACTGCTGGTCTTCCGTCGCAAACCACGTGTAGAGCGACTTGACTGCCTGCTGAACTGTCTGAGTGTGGAACGGGAGCGAGCAAGATTGGTGCTGTCATTGTCCTGATAGAACGCCGCTGTCCGCTTCTGATAGCGGAACTTCGGAGCATACATTCTGCTGGTGATTTCTTTGTTTACTCTCTCTTCGGGTCTTCGCCGAAAAGTGCTCTTTCTCTTTTCGGAATCGACTCTTCTTTGAAACCCTCTTCATTGACTAGCCATCGTCGTCTCGTAATTATTTTGAATCGCCTCCACATTTGTATGTCATTCAAATGTGGCGCTGGGGTTCGAAATTCTACTCCATCTGCCGAGCACGTCAACATTCCAGGCATCCAAAGCAGTCGAGAGTTGGCAGCACCTGCGACAGTAGTCAGTACGACGCCCCAGTCGTGCCAAGCCTGTCGAGAACAATGGCCGTACTCACGATACTCGCGTGTCCTGTCCCTCCCAACGGCCGCCAATGCCGTCAAGGACGGTCAAAAACTTCCCACGCTGCACTGTCACAGTGTCAGAGGCAAACTAAACAATGTTACATACAAAAAATTGTATTGTTGCCTACATGATACCATTAATTGTATACAGTCAGTGATGTTCATGATGAACTAAAACATAGTATTAGTAAAATGAGGAGAAGAACTCAATGACAATGAAATCCAGTCGCGTCACGCAAGTATCTACAAAAGGTAATCGGCGCCTTGCATCATTTCGCAGCCCTGTGTTCGCAGCAATCGCAGGTCTAGCCTCTACTCTACATTGTAGTCTAGCCCAGGGCTGCGCAACGCCCGGCGCGTACTTGAGTGACCTGACTGGATCTCAATGAGCAGCACTGTGGCGGTAGTACAGACTCAGTACATGTATCTCTCTTTACTTTAGACTAGTCAGAGTAGTCTTACTACTGCACTTAGCCATTGGCGGACTATGTTCGGCCAATCGTCAAATAATAATTATGCTTTTGATTATGTCACAATTATGCCATCAAATATGCTGAATTATGCTGAATTATGCTCGGTTCGACTATGTATTCAAGTTGTACATAGAGGATTGAGAAACCACGTATACACACACGGCCATGCCCTAAGCATAATTTTTGTCTAAACCGAAAGATTCTGCCGACCTTACACGTTGGGATCCGTACATAATCATTATGCCAGAGCATAATTTTTTGACGAAATCCCAAGATTATGCCAAATATTATGCCGGCATAATCTGCCAAGGGCTATGACAAGGAGTCGTAACTGGGGTATTTAAAAAAAAACATCTGCAGGCTTTCTGACAAAGCTGTATTATGTCCCTAAGCATAATTTTTGTCTAAACCGAAAGATTACGCCGACCTTACACGTTGGAATTATTATGCCGGAGCATAATTTTTTGACGAAATCCCAAGATTATGCCAAATATTATGCCGGCATAATCCGCCAAGGGCTAACTGCACTACATGTATCTAATATTGACTGCGTACGAGGTCAATAGGAAATAAAAGCCGAGTAAAAGACCGAGAGGCGAAGCTGAGGTCTTTTAAGTTTTATTTCCTATACTGACCAAGTACGAAGTCAATAGGTAGATTTATCACGACTAACCAAAGCATGACTGTGTTCAATCGCTAAAAGTAAACAGGAGTCGAATTATAAGCGGCCAATATAGCCCTAAGGAGTCAAATATTCCTGGCAAAAATCTATGTGAGTCAATACTAAGGGAGTGATAAACAATGGTATACATGTAGCCAGGTCCCAGCCAGTCCGAGTCACCATGTGTATTGTTACCTGCATGTCTTTGCTCTACTAGTACTAGTCTGTAGTAACGTTACTAATACGAGTCGAATGGTCTTGGTTCGAGGAAGCTGAGACGCTCCCTTCCTCCTTTATTCCCAATCGAACTCACGCACTTCCACCGAAACTGGGTGACTGCGCCCTACTACAAGTACTAGTCTGGTAGATGGGGATTGTGCAGACTGCAGGGGACTCGGGAATATGAGGATGATGGATCAGTCCCGGCACCTTCATGGCTCCCTGTCACCACAACAGCAGTTGCTTCTGGAGACGGCCGTTGAAAAGGAGTCTCCAGCTGGCTCACGACACCTCCCTCCCTCGTGCATACTACTACTAGTAGATCTACTAGTAACCATTCTGAACAAAGCTGACTTCCGTTATGCACTCTGCCTGCGTCACGGTCTGTACATGGTCTCCCCGATACCTGTGTGCATTGGTGTGTGTGGGTGGGGTTGCCCTCACCACGGATCATGCTCTAGCATGCACATGTGGGGGATACCCCATCGCTCGCCACAACGAAATTAGAGATCTGCTGGCAGAGGTAACGCGGGAGGTGGTGAGCCTGAGCCGTGAGGGATGTAGAGACCGAGCCGACTCTGCTTCCGTATCAGGGAGAGGATTTGCGAGGCCGGTCAGCCAACCGGTCGGCAGGGGCCCGCCTGGATATTCGGGGTCAGGGCCTCTGGTCGAGGCAGGATGCTTTTTTTTGATGTACGGGTCACTGACCCGAGAGCCTCCCTGCTGTCTCGTTCGGAAGTCCTGAGTCAGCTCCAGGCACATGAAAAGGCCAAAAAAAGAACCTATTGCGAGGGAACAGGGTAGACCGTGGAGCTTTCACTCCTCTCGTCTTCAGTACGTCCAGCATGTGCGGTAAAGAGACCACACTGTTCTTGAAGGCACTGGCATGCCAACTACTGTAGTGGACAAACATAGCGAACTGGCTTACTCAGTAGTAATGGCGAGCTCCGAAGCCTCCTGTCATTTACCCTGCTCCGTTGGGCCATAACATGCTTCCGCGGGTGCAGGTGGTCGTATGGTCGTAGGCGAGATCACGGCTTCTTGCATGTTTCAATATTGTTAGTGCTTGGTTTGGTGATTTTTTGTTGCACCGCCGACTGTCTGTACTTGCCATCCTCTTAGATTTCCGGTGGGTTCAGTCCCCGTTATGGCAACACAGGATTGGGTCATTCTTCATATTCTTGGCATTAGGTTGGTGTTTTGATCATTTTTTTTGTATTGAGATATTGTGTCATACATGTATGTAAGCACATTTGCTTTGCCCGTACAAGAGGCTTTCCCACACTGTACTAGATGGGTATTTGTATGCAAAATGTCAGAAAAAGCGCCATCTACATGTAGTTCTTATAAAAGCACGAATGACCGCGATTGGCCCATGCGTTGTAGTATTTTGGACTGCTTGTGGAGCCTCGTGTAGGCCTTGACGGATTATGCTAGCATAATTTTTCGCATAATTCCTACCAAAATCGAATAATCGCATAATTCATGGCAAATTGCATACGAATCGCATAAAATTGTAATAATCCGCCTGTTCGCATCAAATTCCATACAGTTGTACATGTTCTACAAGTACAAGTAGATGCACCAGGAAGTCGTAGGTTTACGACTCCCTTGATAACATGTCCAGTCCACTACAATCAGTGATGGTCGTAGCTAGGTCGGACGGTGCGTTGACCCCGTTGAACTTTTGCTACTACAGTACGCCCTCTACAAAAAAATTCCCCTGGTATTTTGCACAGCACCATCATGCATTAGCAGCATATGTGAGCATAATGCGGCATAATATGATAACTTTTAGCATAAAAATAGCATAATTCTGCAATTTTTTCAGCAATGCGAAAAGCATAATTTCACGAAAATATTAGCATAATCCGTCAAGGCCTAGCCTCGTGTCAGATTCGTTACCACGTTATCACGCACTTCTTTTACATGAACAGACTGTACACGTCGATCTCTTCACTCTTCGCAGCAATGATATCCAGCAATAACATCACACCATGTGTGGCACTATGTGCTCACCCCTATAAACCTCACCCCCCCCCCCCCCCCCCCCTGATCTTTCAACATCATTGTTGGAGAAGCCAACAAGAAGGTATATTAAATGCCTCATTGGGCGAAACGCTTCATACAGTGTGTACACTCGGAGGGAGTCGTGGTTGTTCATGACACTGCTCCACCAAGGACGAGTTGCAGAGCCTAGTACACACACTTGAGAGGAATCAAAAGCGTTTCTGAGAGAGTTACAGCAGAAACGCTTTTGATTCCTCTCAAGTGTGTGTACAGTATGTACATGATTGTACTGTATGCACAGTATCAGTGTTTGTCAGAATCAAGTCTTCAACAAGCGTTGCCCTTTATCCAAACCATTGGCTTAGCTATGCACATGTGCCCGTGTTTGTCGAGTGTCGAGACGCGATGTAAATATATGTAGACAAACAAAATTCACAAATAATTCACGGTCGTTCTTTTGTCACAATTATTGTGACAAAAGAACGAGGCTCACATTCTGCTGGCAGATCCAGTCCAGTTGTAGTTAGGCATGGGCGGGTAATGCTAGCATTATGGCTGGCATTATAGTCCCCTTTTTCCAGGTGGCATAATGCTGGCATTACAACACCATTTCGCATGCAAAATTGGCATTACAAGCATAATTGCCGGCCGACAACGGTGCCATGCATGAAGTTGGCTAGGTCCAGTTCCGAATATCGTGCATCGCAGCATCTGAACCCGTCCGGCTTTGTCCGGAGACTTGACGTTGCAAATCAACCTTCTCAGTGGATTGTTCCAGACAACATGCTCACTGCTGTTTAAGTTTTTTTCTTCTACGCTTTGGCCTTGATCCAAGACGGCCTTCTTAGATCGACTTTTCCAACTTTCAAACTGGCATTATGGAGTAGTGTGAGCATTATAAGTGGCATTATCCTCATATTATGAGCATTGCCTTTAGCATTATCGCAGCAAATAACTAGCATTACCCGCCCATGCCTAGTTGTAGTACCATTCTTTGTAGCGTCGAGTCCGTAACAGTTACAGTTGCTTGTGATCTGGTGATGCAGGACTGGGAAATGACAAACGACGAGTCTTCTAAGACGTACATGACATTGTAGATCTCCACACTGACTGTGATTATCATAAGACATTTAGTAAGTAACATAACTCACTGACATGACATGGTTCAACTGTTGACGTCTTCTGCGGGGTCGGGAAGTACGCGGAAGACATGGCCTTTTATTGCTTTGCCTTTGGTTTGAGGAACTGCTGGCGTCATAATTATCACTTTTCGGTGCCGACTGTCGAGTGTCGTGTCATGTCGTGCACCAAAGGCTACAGTCCATTCATAAAAAAATGGGTCCTGGCTCTGGCGAGCTCCCGTATTTGGCGATTTTTCGTGATTTCATCGTACACAGTGCAGTGCTGCGAACTTTGAAATTTGAAAAAGGGTCCAAAAAGGGTGCCTGAACTGGGGTTCGAACCGCAGAATGCACTGTTGCAGGCGGGGTCAAACGGCCTGGATTTTGATGGTTTTTCCCAATACAGTGCTTTTGGGGCAAAACCTGGCCGAAATCCTATTCTTGCTATGGCTTGCTTTTTGGACAAAAAAACTTCAGAAACATAATTGGAAGAGGATTCCAGATGGGATTGCAGAAAAAAATTCTAAAAAAACTCAACGTTTGACCCATTTATGGCCAAAAGCTAGAAGTTCATTTTTTTCTGAATGGACTGTAAGCCATACTCCAAAGCCAATGCATGGTAGTAGGCGGTACAGTGTAAGTCTGTTTCACCGACTCGCGTCCGTGTCCCGAGTCCCGACCCTAGCCCGAGTCTGGATTGTTTCCATGGTTTCGAAGTCCTGGCGTTTGCCAAGCAAGATCGATCATGCACACGGTCATGAAGCACGCTTCGACAGACAGTAGATCTACGAGGTTCGGTATCCGATACTATCGGCTGGTGCGTCGGCTAGGCCGTGTCGAACTACATGGGATTTTGTGTGGACTACAAAGTCTACAGACTGTCACAGTGTCAGTCAGGACTACCCGCAGTCAGTAGTTCTAAATCTACTCTGTCTTTTTTAGTCTGGGCTGCAGCCTAGTGCAGGAGAGTCAACACACATCATCGACATGTCGATGAGTAGATTCTACACCTTTTCTCAACGTTGGAAAAGAATGAGAGAACTCAAGTCAAGACGTTGCGCTAGCTACTGTTTTGTCGGATTCGGACAGTCTTTTGACCGGGCTAACAGTTTCTGTCAACTCCCTGCGAGCTTATAGAGGGGACGGATGGACGAATCTACATGTAGTTGGGCGTGTGCAGAAACGGAAAGTCATGATGCTGCTCTCTAGTCTAGGCTACAATAATTGTAGGTGATGTTTTCTAGTGTTGTCACTGAGTAAAACCTTGATCAAATCAGCTTTGACGAAGTGTGCTTCGCGGTGCTTGAAAATGGCGTCATTTGGGAAGCGGCAGAAGTCAAAGAGCTTCGCAGTCTCGCCAGCAGGCCACAGCCACAATGCGAAACCTCTGAACAGACGTGCAACCTCTACTTCGCTGGAGCTGACGCTGCAGGCGCAGGCGAGAATGCGCCCGAAGACGTCGACAAGTGTTCGTCTGGCCACGCGTAACGCCGACGCAGCGCTGCAATGTTGGGTTCTGCCTACTTCGGAGGGCGGTGCAGGTGGTACGGTGGCTAATCTTCTCGAGAGGGCGGCGAGTACGATTAGCCTGACTGGAGTGGCTGAGGAAGGTGCTGACGGTGACTTCTTGAGAAGAGGTAAGTAGCTGTAGCACTGATAACGCAAAACGTTCACTTTAATAGTCTTTGCAAGAACTAGTCTTTGTGGTCCAGTTTCACAACAGTAAAACACCCGCCACAGACACCCGCACACGCACGCACACACACACACGCACAGACACACACACACACACACACACACACACACACACACACACACGTACACACACACACGTACACACACACACAGAGAAGTCTCTGCATCCTGCATGCCGTGAGCACGGTGGCTTGGCAATGGCAACGGAAAAGGATAGCCCGGCCTTCACTGGCAATAATTTGCCATACAATCACAATACGTACTTCAGTCATTTACATTGGTCACTAGGACAAGGAGAGGCGAGTCGAGTCTCTCTCGGGCAGTATCGATCTCAGCATTTACCGGTGCTACGTGAACAAAGCCTTACCACCAAGTTGTACTAGTTGTAGCTATAGTAACAGCCTGGCATGTGTATTCTACGGGGGGGGGCATTCTTCCACTGCTAGGACCTCTTGTAAGGTAAATCGCCACTTGGGTCAATGCCCAACTCACAGGGCAGTCACAGTGCACACAATCTTATACTTGCCAAACCAACATTACAGGCATGTTTAGGGTGGGAGTGATCACTTTGATGGACACGAATGTCTTTTCTGCTGAACAAGCTGGGCTGAGTTGTCGTGACTACCCAGCAGCGCCATAGTAACTTCAGCATACAATCATAGTGCAGGATGAGAATGCATAACACTAACTCCGGTCCTGAACTCTTGAACTCGATGTGCATGTGTTCAATTAATTATTTACCCATCGATTATAATATGAAGTTGACGCGGGCGTGTGTTTACCACCATACCGTAAAAACCCGTGTATACGCCCACTCGAAATTACGCCCACCCTCCGTGTACACGCCCAGTCAGGGGAAGTCAACACTTTTGTTTCAAAATAGCGCCCGTGCCCATGTATACGCCCAGGTGTGCCGGAAACACCAGTACATGTACAGGTACTGATGCCCAATACTTACGGCTATCCCCATTCCAAGTATACGCCCGGTTCCAAAATAACGCCCGTGCCCTTGTATACGCCCAGGAAATCGAGGCTGCTATTCTATACACCCGGGGGCCTATACACAGGCTTTTACGGTATTTATCAATCGATTATAATAACTACATGTATTACTTTTTTGTGGGCAACAGTGCAGCAATGACTCCTCCTATACACATAGAAATCACACCCGAGCCCAGCCCAAAGACAGGGGCAGTCTTCTGACCAATGGCATGGCGTACCCGGCCCTGGGTAGCGTCACAAGCCTGACTTCGGTTGTGGAAGGTGGTTGCGCCTATACTGTACATCGTGTCTCATTACATTTAGAGCGAGGTGCGATAGCTGGAGAGAGTGCTCAATGCATACACCTGGGTGTAGCGCCGTATACGCTTGGAGAAAAGGTAAACTCTCATGCACAAAAGACCATCAGACAGCACATCGCGTTTCTTAATACTAGTGTATTGTGCATGTAGCTGACTGTGTGTGTGTGTGTGTGTGTGTGTGTGTGTGTGTGTGTGTGTGTGTGTGTGTGTGTGTGTTTGTGTGTGTGTGGTGGATACCAGGCGAAAATTAGTGGCAGTCAATTCATCAGCCTTGCAAGCTGTTGAATGGTGTAATCCCAGCACAAGTTGCTAAGTGCTATTCGCTATCATCGCTTCCGCGATGGGCATGTCCGAGTCCGAGTGTGTGTGAGCGCACGCGCATGTGCGTTTGTGACATGTTTGATATGCGCCTCTACACTCACTACCTGTCCCTCTATTGCTGCAGTTCTGAAGAGCGGTCAACTGACTGGTCTGCACAAGGCATGTGCACAAGGAAATATCAACGCAGTAGTCAGCATTGTGAAGGTTGGTGACTGACCAGAGCATAACTGCTACATGGTAACATACTCTATCACATATCCATCCTGGCTGGATCACTCCTAAGCATGCAGTGTTGACAGGTGATGCCATGACCAAGGACGAAGACTAGAGCACGGCAGCACGAACACTCATGTACATCCAGCATATCTATAAACAAGTTATTAACACACCACTGTTACTATTACACTGCGTGTACATGGAAGTTGCAACTTGCTAGTGAGATTTTATTCCAACTGAAACCCCTGGTCAAAATCTTACCGTACAGTTCCCCACTGAGCTTCTTGAAATATGATAGCAGTGCCTGTTTGTCTCTATCAGTGGATTCACTCACATCCCAATTGACAATACACGCTCTATTCACACGTGTAGATTGGCATTAGCCAGAAAATGGATGTGGGGACTGGGGGGGGGGGGGGGGGGGGGAGGGGGGGGGGGGGTACTAGCAGCTGGACAGCGCTGGACATTGTTCCTACTAAAAACCTTGCTAAAATCAACATAAATACAAATTCATTGGTTGAGGCATGTGCTTGCCTTTCATGTTGTGATGTCCAGATCGACAGCGAGCGTCAAGGGCAGCTTGGCTACGCCGGACTCAGCGAGCGCGACGTCTTTGGTCGAACGCCGCTGATGTACGCGGCCGTGGCGGACTCCAAGCCGTGCCTGGACATGCTGTTGACATGCGGTGCCAAGAGAGAAGTGGTAAGGCTAGTGTAGCATAATTTCTATTTTTTTTTCAAAAAGGAGGGGATGTAGCATCCTATATCTGGTTATCCTTTCACCCATCCACGGCATAGTCCTTTCCCCATCTGTCGCTATGTATAGACGGTAAGTTATATGACCTCGCACTACTCTGTACTACGCATGCTACCCTGCTCTGCTGGACATGGCCTCCCTGACTCTTCACTATATCTACACCCACATGTCTGTAAAATAGACCACTTCATTACTGTCAGTTCTGGACACAACACCCCTCACAGGCACAGGTGTAATTGTAGCTGCGCTACTCATCCACACGCCAGTAGTGCTATTCCTCATACTTCGAAGTAGACAAATACAGAATGACATTTGCCATCATCGGATTTACCGTAATGTCGCGTGCATAAGCCGGATTTGTGCATAAGCCTGTCTCGTGTAGAAGCATGAAATCTGCAACAGCTTTTCGCGTACAAGCCTGTCGCATGCATAAGCCGGGCCAGTACACGAGACGCGCCACGTGTCGCGTGCGTAAGCCGGGCTACTACGCAACACTGGTGAGCGCGCCTTTTACATGTTCATGTTTGCATGGTACCGTACACTTGCGAAAAAAAAGAAAAAAAATCCCGTTGGAAAATGTTGGTTTTGACGTCCAAAAGTCAGCAGTTTGCGCATACAAGCCTGGTCATTGGGTGGTGCTTGTCATATAAGCCTGTCTCGTGTATAAGCCTGTCTTGTGTACAAGCCTGACTCCATCACCGGCTTATAGGCATATAAGCCCCGGCTAATGCACGCGACATTACGGTAGTCTAATTTGCTTTCTTGAACTTCTGTGTGATTGCGTGAGTTCAAAAGGTACGCATGAAAGGACGGAAGTGCCATAATTTGCTTGAGAAGGACAACGTAGCCTAATATAGTGGCTGGAGCACCGCTGCTCAAAGCCAAAGACCCCTGCTTTCATTCCCAGTCGTGTTCGTTGATTTTTCTTGATTACTCGGCTAAAACCTAGAACCTGCATGTGTACATACATGTACGCGGAGTAGTTCACTTAGCCTGGCAGGATACCCACAGCATTAAAGCATGCCGGATAGCAGTACACTGCGGCATGGTGGCATGGGAGTAGTTTTGTTGTTGGTCCGCTATCAAAGTGTGCTGTTAGATTGAGTACTAGTACCTGCTAATCACGGTGCTGCGTTGCAGATGTATTGATATGAATTATGTACTGTGTGCGATCATTGTGTTCTGTTCAGCGTGACCCCAATGGCCACACTGCTGTGCACTATGCAGCATACTTTGGACAGCATCGTGCACTGAAGTTCTTGATAGAGGCCGCGTGTGACTGGGCACCACAGTAAGTATAAACAGCATACACACATATACACACACACACATGCACACACACACACACACACACACACACACACACACACACACACACACACACACACACACACACACACACACACACACACACACACACACACACACACACACATACATGTATGCCTGAAGGAATTGACACTTATTCGAGCCAGTTTGACACATGAACCAGTACAAAGCAGTTGATACGTACAAAACCTATTCTTGTATGAAACCCTGTATCGAACTCGCCTGTGTACCTATTGTGTGAATGTGCCAAAAAACATTTTGAGCGCTCCTCTACTGTTTAAACCGATGTAGTGTGAGACTCTTTCAGACAGCGGTCACTGTGACTCTGTATCACAAATCTCATCATTCATGACATGGCTGGTTCTTCCTTGCTGTGATCGCACAGCGACATCTATGGACGGCCACCGCTACACATCTCCATCAGCAGTGACAGCGTGAAGTGCTTACAGCTTTTACTCAAGCACTGCAGGTACATGAGATGTGCATAGCAGCAGCCAGTGTCTCTGATCTGCATTAAAAATATTTTAAACACACCGCTTTCCGTCAACCAACACTGTTTTTTGTTGTATATTAATAACATACTTGAAGTACTCGTTTCTGTGATCAGTTGTCAATGGTATGCCTGTAGTGTTCTGTTCGGACGGACTGTCCTCAATTTTCAGGAACAGCTTGAAAGGGTATGCTAAGAACCTCCACATTTTAAAATATCCTTCATAATACATACCACATACTGCACACGGCTGTGTGGAGTGAGGGGAGAGGGTGCAGCTCCTTCGAGATGCTGTATGTATCCTTGAAGTACATTTGACCAGGGTCTGAGCAAACCGATACGTTGAATGCACGATAAAATCATGCCTTCAAGTCTTTTTGCTAGAGACTCGAGTGCGCCCCAGATGAATGGAGAAAAGGGCTAACATTTAGTAACGTTAGCATGCCCATGCCCTGACATTATGTTGTGCCCTTTCGCATCTTGTTCAGTGTTGTTGGGGGTGACGTGGATCTGGTGGACAAGGAGTCAATGACGGCGTTGCACGTTGCAGCTCATTGTGGCAAGGCACAGCATCTATCCACTCTGCTCAAAGGTACGCTGGCCTCCGGCTATTAGTATGAAAATTCGACTTCTTTGGATTGGTGAATAGCAGATAGCTTCGGCGTGAATGAGAATGTCCGCACCATGACGTTATGCATTCAAAATTGGTCTAGGCAGTCAGTCCACTTTTGTTTGGAACTAGTGCCATGATGAATACTCCTGGCTCTCTAGAATACATGTACACAGTGGTCCCTCTATAGATATTGAATCCGGCACAATTTGTGACAAGGGAAATCTGCTGGATTAGGGAGGGTGCTGGATTAACAAATCTGATTTACTGCTGCAATGTGCATGAAGAGGACATTTTGGCTACTGAAAATCATGCTGGTTTATCGAGGGTGCTGGATTATAAAGTGCTGGATTAGAGAGGGACGACTGTACTACAGTAAAACCTGTCTAGGTGACCACTCGGGTAAGGCGACCACCTGTCCCAGACAACCACTTCAGCCAGGACCAAGAGATGCTTTTTCCAGTCAAATGGCAATGGATAAGGAGACCGCCTGGTTGCAGAGACCACACTTTGAAGGTCCCTTGAGCAGTCATCTTAGACAGGTTTCATTGTAACAGGTACCGGCATGTGCGTGTACCAGAGTGAATGTACCAGAGTGAGTGTACCAGAGTGAATGTACCAGAGTGAGTGTACCAGAGTGAATGTACCAGAGTGAGTGTACCAGAGTGAGTGTACCAGAGTGAATGTACCAGAGTGAGTGTACCAGAGTGAGTGTACCAGAGTGAGTGTACCAGAGTGAGTGTACCAGAGTGAATGTACCAGAGTGAATGTACCAGAGTGAATGTACCAGAGTGAGTGTACCAGAGTGAATGTACCAGAGTGAGTGTACCAGAGTGAGTGTACCAGAGTGAATGTACCAGAGTGAATGTACCAGAGTGAGTGTACCGGAGTGAGTGTACCAGAGTGAGTGTACCAGAGTGAATGTACCAGAGTGAGTGTACCAGAGTGAGTGTACCAGAGTGAGTGTACCAGAGTGAATGTACCAGAGTGAGTGTACCAGAGTGAGTGTACCAGAGTGTACCAGAGTGAATGTACCAGAGTGAATGTACCAGAGTGAGTGTGCTAGACACTAGACAATGATTCTGACTCTGGTCTGAAAGTGGTGATTCGTGGAAGGACTGTGAGGCATATAACTAGCATTGTGTACAATGGCATGCATTCTATGCTATCTTTGCTGTAGCTGGGGCAAGCCCAAAGGCAGTGGACATGGAAGGCAAAACAGCTATGCACTGGGCAGTGACCAACACCGATGCAACATGCATCACTACCTTGCATCAGGCCTATCCAGCCATCGTCAACATGAGGTATGCACTGCTACCTACAATGTACATGTGTCCCGAAATCAACACAACACCAAACAATGCCTATCGGTTTTTTGAAGGACAGCAGCTTAATTTTGCTCTCCAACGTCCGACCTCACCTCTAGCGAAATATCCCCACTTTCCGAGTGCTCTTTGTTTGCTCTGTGATGCTTGTGCTTTTGCTATTGTTGCCCTCAGATTTAAATGATTGCCATGGATATCTTCTCCTCCCGTTGTGCACGATTTTTGATACGTTTCCGCTTCTGGGTAACCGTCTAAAGTGCCATGTTTCTTTAGCGTTAAATGTGATCTGGAGTCGCAAAAGTAAATTTTGCTGCGTCAGTCTGACTTTCTAATGGTGTGCATTCACTACAGGGATATCTACAGTGAGACAGTTCTGCACGTCGCCTCCAAGCTGGGTTATGCACACATTGTGGACGCTGTGTGCTCAATGGAAAAGTAAGCGGCTGCCACATGTTTTACAGTACACATACTCGGAGGGAGTTGTGGCTGCTCGTGACAGTGCTCAATACACTAAGGTGCAGTATCTAGTATAGCCAGACATTGGCTCCTTTTCAGTTTTGCACCGTGTTGGTCTCCTTGTACAACTGCTTAGGCTGCCCCACTCGCGTAACCTCTATTGTGTGAGCTTTTCCGCGGCTCTCAGCCACACTGCACATTGTTGCGTTCCGAGAATGTGTCTGTTCCCACCTTCATGGCTTGTGGGTTTTGTTTTCACTGATTGCAGTTGCAACATGGATACGAAGTGCCGTGATGACCAGTCTGCACTGCACCTGGCCACTATTCACTGTCAGAACTCCTGCGTCAGCACTCTGTTACGACATGGTGCTCTGGATGCCTGTGTGGATTCCTTTGGGTAAGTATAGAATTCTGCATTTCAGACACTAGTGATAGGGACAACTATTTCCTGGTATGCCATTTGCTACAGGAAAAAAACTAAACTTGACGAGATTTACCTGGCACACAGATAACACGGATATTGTGTTTCATTTGGTATAAACAATGTTGTTCTCTGACATGCGCACATGGGCGTAATAGCTAGTACTTTTGTTATAGGTTACATGATTGGTATGGCATACCCCCATTGTCCTTGGAAGCAGCTATCAAGGCAATGATGACCTCCCATTATTCCGGGGGGGGGGCACTGTTATAAGGAGTGTTTTACGCACTCTTAACCCCGATGACCCTGTGCCACTTTTATATCTGCTTTTACTCCTCAGTGGTAGTGCTAAAGAATGAAACAGTAAAAAAATGTTCAATGGAAGCATTGTCTGGCACCATACACTGGGAATCGAACCAGGGAATTAAACAGGGGAATAGAACCAGGGAATTGAACCGGGGAATCGAACCAGGGAATCAAACCATGGACCATTAATTTGGCCAGCAATGCTCCATCACCTTGATTTTTGCAAACACTATTTGCAGGTTGAGCCCCTTGCACTACGCAATCATGTCAGGTAGCGTGGACGTTGTCCGTCTCTACGCTCAGCTAGAATCGCTGGCCAACTTGCCTGACTCTGATGGACGCCGGCCACTCCACTGGGCTGTAACGGAGGACAACGCTGAAATGCTGGCGGTAAGAAATGGGACGATGTGAACTGTGGAGCACTGGTGTTGCAGCTAAGATTCTGTCACTCAATAAAAAAATAATAATAATGACTTAGTGATTGTAAAAGGATGTGCCGAGTGTTCGTAGAGGTACTCTATAACCAGTACAAAGGGAAATGTTATTTCCATCGTACAGTAAAATCAAGAGTACATACCTCCCCCCCCCCCCCCCCCCCCCCCCAGAGTGTGCAACGCCTGATCCAGCTCTGCATAGGGTCTTGGTCGAGCGTAATCGGATCTTTGCGTCATAATACCGTACATATCTGAGGGGAGCCCGGGGAATCGTGGGTACTCTCGGATCAAAAACAACGGTGCCCTGCCTCGAGACCGGCCTTGCGCTGGTGTGGAGTGTACGCATGACATCAGAAGATCCGATTACGCTCGACCAAGACCCTATGCAGAGATGGATCAGGCGTTGCACACTCTGAGGGGTTATGTACTCTTGGTAAAACCTGTGGCTAACGACCACCCCTTGGGGCCAGAGAAAGCGGTCTTTAGTGGCAGGTGGTCCTTAGTCAGAGGTTTGCACCGCACAACTATATGAATGTGAGACAATCCGTGCCTGGCAAAGTGGTCTGTAGTACCAGGCTGGTCGCTATAGTCACGGTGGTCTGTAGTACCAGGCTGGTCGCTATAGTCACGGTGGTCTGTAGTACCAGGCTGGTCGCTATAGTCACGATGGTCTGTAGTACCAGGCTGGTCGCTATAGTCACGGTGGTCTGTAGTATCAGGCTGGTCGCTATAGTCACGGTGGTCTGTAGTACCAGGCTGGTCGCTATAGTCACGGTGGTCTGTAGTACCAGGCTGGTCGCTATAGTCACGGTGGTCTGTAGTACCAGGCTGGTCGCTATAGTCACGGTGGTCTGTAGTACCAGGCTGGTCGCTATAGTCACGGTGGTCTGTAGTACCAGGCTGGTCGCTATAGTCACGGTGGTCTGTAGTACCAGGCTGGTCGCTATAGTCACGGTGGTCTGTAGTACCAGGCTGGTCGCTATAGTCACGGTGGTCTGTAGTACCAGGCTGGTCGCTATAGTCACGGTGGTCTGTAGTACCAGGCTGGTCGCTATAGTCACGGTGGTCTGTAGTACCAGGCTGGTCGCTATAGTCACGGTGGTCTGTAGTACCAGGCTGGTCGCTATAGTCACGGTGGTCTGTAGTACCAGGCTGGTCGCTATAGTCACGGTGGTCTGTAGTACCAGGCTGGTCGCTATAGTCACGGTGGTCTGTAGTACCAGGCTGGTCGCTATAGTCACGGTGGTCTGTAGTACCAGGCTGGTCGCTATAGTCACGGTGGTCTGTAGTACCAGGCTGGTCGCTATAGTCACGGTGGTCTGTAGTACCAGGCTGGTCGCTATAGTCACGGTGGTCTGTAGTACCAGGCTGGTCGCTATAGTCACGGTGGTCTGTAGTACCAGGCTGGTCGCTATAGTCACGGTGGTCTGTAGTACCAGGCTGGTCGCTATAGTTACGGTGGTCGTTAGTTACAGGTTTTACTGTACTTTACACTCAATGTTCTATGCATTTACTTGCTGCATCAGCCTGACAAGGTGGAGTGTTGGATGTAATGATTATGCATGTGTTCTTGCCGTGTTGCTGCTCATGCTCTAACTCTGCTGATGTGCACGTGAACATATCATTTCACAACATTGCAGCTGCTGTTGGAACATCCGGACATGCAGGGCGATGTGAACATAGAGGACAAGAGGGGCATGACAGGTATGGAATACTAGTAGCCGAGATTGATCCCAGCAATGATTTCACATCAAACCTGCAGTGATTTGTAATGCACCATACTCGTCAGGTGATCGTGTACACTCATTGCTTTGATATCAGTGCCCGGCAACATTCAACAACAAAGCTGTACATGTACTAGCATGTCCTGACATGTACTCTGAGCATGTACTAGCATGTACTAGCATGCACTAGCATGTACTAGCATGTACTAGCATGCACTAGCATGTACTAGCATGTACTAGCATGTACTAGCATGTACTAGCATGTACTAGCATGTACTAGCATGTACTAGCATTTTATTTCACGGAGAAGGCGGAGAGCCCGAATGTGTCGGCCCTTGGAAAAATAAACCGTATATACTAGTGTAGCGTTGGCACGCTGGTGACTTCAAAGCGTATAGCGTTTAGTGTTTAGAGTATAGCATATCCCCGTACTGTATCCCCGTACATTAGCGTACGGAGTCTGCCTTTGTATCAAAGCTGCTGCTCACGATTCTTTTATAGCCAGTTAGTTAATTTAGTTGCCAATCAGTTAATTTCGTTGCCAGTACATTTCAATTGCCAGTTACAGTGTGTTCACTGAGACCCTTGTATTTTTGCCTCCGAGAGACTGCGGCCCGCTACACTAGCATGTACTAGCATGTACTAGCATGTACTAGCATGTACTAGCTGACACCAGACTGCTCTGCTGACTGCTACATGTAGTAACTAAGAAGCCTGTTATTTTATGCAGGAGGAATTCAATGTTGAGGATTGCTGCTGCTGGGCTATGTATGGTGGTTGATGTAAGGCCGCGGTCACACCAAGCGCGATTCAGCCATTCAGCGGAAAAAAGCGCTTTTTGACGTCATCGTCGCTACGGAAACGGCTGAATTTTCGGCTTCAGCCTTTTTCAGCAGTCAGCCGTTTTCAAAGCGCTGAATGGGAGCGCTGAATGGATTCAGCCACTTTCAGCCATTCTGGCGCAGTGGCGGGAAAAATAAACTCGTTCAAAGCGCATCTTGGCATGATCTTGCAGCTTGCATCGTGTTCTACCACCTTCCGCTTTCATTGTTGGTGAAACTTCTCTCCTTGCCTTTTTGTCGGTCATCATGGAATCCTGGACAGTAGCACTGGAGCGGCGACTACTGGAGCTTTGGTTTGAAACAAAAACCAAGTATGAGACCACTATGAAAAAAATACCAGAAAGAAAGCGTGGATCTTGGACGAACTGAAGAAGTGTGCTGGAGAAGGCGGACGGGAAAACAGGAGAAAATCATATTCAAAAATGAGCGGGAAGAAAAAAAACTCTAGCACACAAAAAAATCCAGCCGATTTCGTGCCGTGGTGTGACCAACCGCCCCATTCAGCACAAGCCACTTTCAGCGCAAGCGGGAAACGGCTTGTTTGGTGTGACCGCGGCCTAAAAGAGTGTTGCTGCTGGACTGGTTATGGTGGTTGGCATTGAGGAGTGTTGCTGCTGGACTGGCTATGGTGGCTGGCATTGAGGAGTGTTGCTGCTGGACTAGCTATGGTGGTTGGCATTGAGGAGTGTTGCTGCTGGACTGGCTATGGTGGTTGGCATTGAGGAGTGTTGCTGCTGGACTGGCTATGGTGGCTGGCATTGAGGAGTGTTGCTGCTGGACTGGCTATGGTGGTTGGCATTGAGGTGTGTTGCTGCTGGACTGGCTATGGTGGTTGGCATTGAGGAGTGTTGCTGCTGGACTGGCTATGGTGGTTGGCATTGAGGAGTGTTGCTGCTGGACTGGCTATGGTGGTTGGCATTGAGGAGTGTTGCTGCTGGACTGGCTATGGTGGTTGGCGTTGATGAGTGTTGCTGCTGGACTGGCTATGGTGGCTGGCATTGAGGAGTGTTGCTGCTGGACTAGCTATGGTGGTTGGCATTGAGGAGTGTTGCTGCTGGACTGGCTATGGTGGTTGGCATTGAGGAGTGTTGCTGCTGGACTGGCTATGGTGGCTGGCATTGAGGAGTGTTGCTGCTGGACTGGCTATGGTGGTTGGCATTGAGGTGTGTTGCTGCTGGACTGGCTATGGTGGTTGGCATTGAGGAGTGTTGCTGCTGGACTGGCTATGGTGGTTGGCATTGAGGAGTGTTGCTGCTGGACTGGTTATGGTGGTTGGCATTGAGGAGTGTTGCTGCTGGACTGGCTATGGTGGTTGGCATTGAGGAGTGTTGCTGCTGGACTGGCTATGGTGGTTGGCATTGATGAGTGTTGCTGCTGGACTGGCTATGGTGGTTGGCATTGAGGAGTGTTGCTGCTGGACTGGCTATGGTGGTTGGCATTGAGGAGTGTTGCTGCTGGACTGGCTATGGTGGTTGGCATTGAGGAGTGTTGCTGCTGGACTGGTTATGGTGGTTGGCATTGAGGAGTGTTGCTGCTGGACTGGCTATGGTGGTTGGCATTGAGGAGTGTTGCTGCTGGACTGGCTATGGTGGTTGGCATTGAGGAGTGTTGCTGCTGGACTGGCTATGGTTGTTGGCATTGAGGAGTGTTGCTGCTGGACTGGCTATGGTGGCTGGCATTGAGGAGTGTTGCTGCTGGACTGGTTATGGTGGTTGGCATTGAGGAGTGTTGCTGCTGGACTGGTTATGGTGATTGGCATTGAGGAGTGTTGCTGCTGGACTGGTCATGGTGGTTGGCATTGAGGAGTGTTGCTGTTGGACTGGTCATGGTGGTTGGCATTGAGGAGTGTTGCTGCTGGACTGGCTATGGTGGTTGGCATTGAGGAGTGTTGCTGCTGGACGGGCTATGGTGGTTGGCATTGAGGAGTGTTGCTGCTGGACTGGCTATGGTGGTTGGCATTGAGGAGTGTTGCTGCTGGACTGGCTATGGTGGTTGGCATTGAGGAGTGTTGCTGCTGGACTGGCTATGGTGGTTGGCATTGAGGAGTGTTGCTGCTGGACTGGCTATGGTGGTTGGCATTGAGGAGTGTTGCTGCTGGACTGGTTATGGTGGTTGGCATTGAGGAGTGTTGCTGCTGGACTGGTTATGGTGGTTGGCATTGAGGAGTGTTGCTGCTGGACTGGCTATGGTGGTTGGCATTGAGGAGTGTTGCTGCTGGACTGGCTATGGTGGTTGGCATTGAGGAGTGTTGCTGCTGGACTGGCTATGGTGGTTGGCATTGAGGAGTGTTGCTGCTGGACTGGTTATGGTGGTTGGCATTGAGGAGTGTTGCTGCTGGACTGGTTATGGTGGTTGGCATTGAGGAGTGTTGCTGCTGGACTGGCTATGGTGGTTGGCATTGAGGAGTGTTGCTGCTGGACTGGCTATGGTGGTTGGCATTGAGGAGTGTTGCTGCTGGACTGGCTATGGTGGTTGGCATTGAGGAGTGTTGCTGCTGGACTGGCTATGGTGGTTGGCATTGAGGAGTGTTGCTGCTGGACTGGTTATGGTGGTTGGCATTGAGGAGTGTTGCTGCTGGACTGGTTATGGTGGTTGGCATTGAGGAGTGTTGCTGCTGGACTGGCTATGGTGGTTGGCATTGAGGAGTGTTGCTGCTGGACTGGCTATGGTGGTTGGCGTTGAGGAGTGTTGCTGCTGGACTGGCTATAGTGGTTGGCATTGAGGAGTGTTGCTGCTGGACTGGCTATGGTGGTTGGCATTGAGGAGTGTTGCTGCTGGACTGGCTATGGTGGTTGGCATTGAGGAGTGTTGCTGCTGGACTGGTTATGGTGATTGGCATTGAGGAGTGTTGCTGCTGGACTGGTCATGGTGGTTGGCATTGAGGAGTGTTGCTGTTGGACTGGTCATGGTGGTTGGCATTGAGGAGTGTTGCTGCTGGACTGGCTATGGTGGTTGGCATTGAGGAGTGTTGCTGCTGGACGGGCTATGGTGGTTGGCATTGAGGAGTGTTGCTGCTGGACTGGCTATGGTGGTTGGCATTGAGGAGTGTTGCTGCTGGACTGGCTATGGTGGTTGGCATTGAGGAGTGTTGCTGCTGGACTGGCTATGGTGGTTGGCATTGAGGAGTGTTGCTGCTGGACTGGCTATGGTGGTTGGCATTGAGGAGTGTTGCTGCTGGACTGGTTATGGTGGTTGGCATTGAGGAGTGTTGCTGCTGGACTGGTTATGGTGGTTGGCATTGAGGAGTGTTGCTGCTGGACTGGCTATGGTGGTTGGCATTGAGGAGTGTTGCTGCTGGACTGGCTATGGTGGTTGGCATTGAGGAGTGTTGCTGCTGGACTGGCTATGGTGGTTGGCATTTAGAAGTGTTGCTACTGGACTTTGTGTAGCAGTGTCTGCAAGCATCGTGTGGACTTGTCTGGTCTAACCAAGCACTATTACTACTTGAAGTACAATTGTGAATGGATGGCGGATTGACTCCGGGATGAATATAACATCAATGGTAAAATGGTAATAGCGTGGCACATAAGGTATCCTAGTGAAGCATCGGCGAAGGTCCTACACGGGAAGTCTAAAACATAACAACCACGCACTCACAAGCAAGGAGAGTTCCAAGTTCTTTAACCTGACCGGTTTCTGTGACATGAGTCACTTCATCAGAGGAATAAGGATAAATGACAATGTGGAACTCAATATAACCAGCGAACTGGACAGACAGGCGTTGAGTACTGTCGAGTAATTAGCGCGAAAAAAAAAGCAATTAGCGATTTAGCGCGAAAGAAAGCGTGAACAAAACACGGGGTTGCTTGCGAGGCGAAAAAACAAACACGAGGTTGAGTGCAAGGCATGGCATGGAGGTAAAAAATACCTATACCCATCGTAGTGAAGCATCGGCGAAGGTCCTACACGGGAAGTCTAAAACATAACAACCACGCACTCACAAGCAAGGAGAGTTCCAAGTTCTTTAACCTGACCGGTTTCTGTGACATGAGTCACTTCATCAGAGGAATAAGGATAAATGACAATGTGGAACTCAATATAACCAGCGAACTGGACAGACAGGCGTTGAGCACTGTCGAGTAATTAGCGCGAAAAAAAAAGCAATTAGCGATTTAGCGCGAAAGAAAGCGTGAACAAAACACGGGGTTGCTTGCGAGGCGAAAAAACAAACACGAGGTTGAGTGCAAGGCATGGCATGGAGGTAAAAAATACCTATACCCATCGTAGTGAAGCATCGGCGAAGGTCCTACACGGGAAGTCTAAAACATAACAACCACGCACTCACAAGCAAGGAGAGTTCCAAGTTCTTTAACCTGACCGGTTTCTGTGACATGAGTCACTTCATCAGAGGAATGAGGATAAATGACAATGTGGAACTCAATATAACCAGCGAACTGGACAGACAGGCGTTGAGCACTGTCGAGTAATTAGCGCGAAAAAAAAAAAGCAATTAGCGATTTAGCGCGAAAGAAAGCGTGAACAAAACACGGGGTTGCTTGCGAGGCGAAAAAACAAACACGAGGTTGAGTGCAAGGCATGGCATGGAGGTAAAAAATACCTATACCCATCGTGAATGTGGTTTCCTAAAACATAAGTTAGCGCGAAAAGAATTTTGCAGGGTGCGTTGAAGGCTGAGGAGGCCAGGGTGATAGTCAGTAACAAAAACTGTGGGGCAAGAGGCAGAAGCTTGCACAGAGCTAGCTGGAGGTATGAGTTGACAGCTAGCTGGGGTATCACTGAACGCATCGTGGAGAAACCTAGGAGGGTAACCACGCTTGCGAAGCCTGGTCCAGAAAGCATCACGTATAGCGAGCAGGGAGGTAATCTCACTGTTTGTGTGGTTATAGCGCAGCAATTCAGCTTTAATAAAGGCTCTGAAACATGAGCGGGGGTGGTCGGACGTAAATGGGATGTACAAATAAGCGTTCCTGGGCTTTTGGAAAGTACTGAATGTGAATGTGGATTTATCATTAATAGAGATGATCAAATCAAGAAACTCAATACTTTTACTGGGGTCTGACCACGTAAGTCTGATGGCGTCAAGTTTTGCGCACATGTGCCGTTTGACGGCAGGCAGATTGCTCAGTCTTTTGATGATTAAGAGAAGATCATCAACGTATCGACCGAAGAACTTTATGGTGTTACGGAAGACTGAGAGTGATGTACGCTCATGGACGAAGAGGAAAATATTTGCAACATTAACCGCCATGGGTGTACCCATGGCCATGCCATTCTCTTGGTGATACACCAAACCATCATGCTCGAAAAAATTATTTCTTAGCACAAAAGAAGAAAGATCAATGAGCAAGTCTTTCATGGGGTGATTATTTTCGTCGAGGAACACGTGCAAGGCATTGGTCGTGTCTTTCCACGACATGCATGTGTAAAGACTTTCGACGTCTGCAGTCAAAAGGGAGCAGTCACTCAAGTCATCGTTCGACGGAGTGATCAAACTCTTTACAACATCGTTAGTAGAAGTAAACACAGTGTTTGCTGATTTCATGAGACTCTTTATATGGTAGTCGACATAGCGAGAGGCTGGGGTTGTGCAGTAGCCCTGACACGACACAATGGGCCTGCCTTTAACTCCACAGGGCCCAAGGGGTTTGTGGATTTTGGGAATGAGCCGAAACTTGGCTGGCTTGAAAGGGAAATTCGCTATGTCGACTACCATATAAAGAGTCCATGAAATCAGCAAACACTGTGTTTACTTCTACTAACGATGTTGTAAAGAGTTTGATCACTCCGTCGAACGATGACTTGAGTGACTGCTCCCTTTTGACTGCAGACGTCGAAAGTCTTTACACATGCATGTCGTGGAAAGACACGACCAATGCCTTGCACGTGTTCCTCGACGAAAATAATCACCCCATGAAAGACTTGCTCATTGATCTTTCTTCTTTTGTGCTAAGAAATAATTTTTTCGAGCATGATGGTTTGGTGTATCACCAAGAGAATGGCATGGCCATGGGTACACCCATGGCGGTTAATGTTGCAAATATTTTCCTCTTCGTCCATGAGCGTACATCACTCTCAGTCTTCCGTAACACCATAAAGTTCTTCGGTCGATACGTTGATGATCTTCTCTTAATCATCAAAAGACTGAGCAATCTGCCTGCCGTCAAACGGCACATGTACGCAAAACTTGACGCCATCAGCCTTACGTGGTCAGACCCCAGTAAAAGTATTGAGTTTCTTGATTTGATCATCTCTATTAATGATAAATCCACATTCACATTCAGTACTTTCCAAAAGCCCAGGAACGCTTATTTGTACATCCCATTTACGTCCGACCACCCCCGCTCATGTTTCAGAGCCTTTATTAAAGCTGAATTGCTGCGCTATAACCACACAAACAGTGAGATCACCTCCCTGCTCGCTATACGTGATGCTTTCTGGACCAGGCTTCGCAAGCGTGGTTACCCTCCTAGGTTTCTCCACGATGCGTTCAGTGATACCCCAGCTAGCTGTCAACTCATACCTCCAGCTAGCTCTGTGCAAGCTTCTGCCTCTTGCCCCACAGTTTTTGTTACTGACTATCACCCTGGCCTCCTCAGCCTTCAACGCACCCTGCAAAATTCTTTTCGCGCTAACTTATGTTTTAGGAAACCACATTCACGATGGGTATAGGTATTTTTTACCTCCATGCCATGCCTTGCACTCAACCTCGTGTTTGTTTTTTCGCCTCGCAAGCAACCCCGTGTTTTGTTCACGCTTTCTTTCGCGCTAAATCGCTAATTGCTTTTTTTTTTTTCGCGCTAATTACTCGACAGTGCTCAACGCCTGTCTGTCCAGTTCGCTGGTTATATTGAGTTCCACATTGTCATTTATCCTCATTCCTCTGATGAAGTGACTCATGTCACAGAAACCGGTCAGGTTAAAGAACTTGGAACTCTCCTTGCTTGTGAGTGCGTGGTTGTTATGTTTTAGACTTCCCGTGTAGGACCTTCCCCGATGCTTCACTAGGCCCCCTGTATGAATCCCTGCTGTTACCAGCATCCAACTGTCCCTATTTCCAACATGGTTTTTGCTTCACTGTTTCTGTATCTAGCTGCTCATCTTGCTGTCGAGAATGGCAGCACAGACTGCCTCTCAGAGCTGCTCAACGCCAACGCCACCGTGAATAAGAGGTCCTCCGAGGTGGAGTCACCGGTGTTTGTGGCATGCGAGACCGGCAAGGCGCAGTGCTTGGAGTTGGTAAGTCGCAGTACAGTACTGTACTGTGAGTGTCGGGAGCCGAAGAACGGCCAGCCTATACATGAGAACGGCCAGCCTATACATGAGAACGGCCAGCCTATACATGAGAACAGCCAGCCTATACATGAGAACGGCCAGCCTATACATGAGAACGGCCAGCCTATACATGAGAACAGCCAGCCTATACATGAGAACGGCCAGCCTATACATGAGAACAGCCAGCCTATACATGAGAACAGCCAGCCTATACATGAGAACGGCCAGCCTATACATGAGAACGGCCAGCCTATACATGAGAACAGCCAGCCTATACATGAGAACGGCCAGCCTATACATGAGAACGGCCAGCCTATACATGAGAACAGCCAGCCTATACATGAGAACGGCCAGCCTATACATGAGAACAGCCAGCCTATACATGAGAACGGCCAGCCTATACATGAGAACAGCCAGCCTATACATGAGAACGGCCAGCCTATACATGAGAACAGCCAGCCTATACATGAGAACGGCCAGCCTATACATGAGAACAGCCAGCCTATACATGAGAACGGCCAGCCTATACATGAGAACAGCCAGCCTATACATGAGAACAGCCAGCCTATACATGAGAACAGCCAGCCTATACATGAGAACAGCCAGCCTATACATGAGAACAGCCAGCCTATACATGAGAACAGCCAGCCTATACATGAGAACAGCCAGCCTATACATGAGAACAGCCAGCCTATACATGAGAACAGCCAGCCTATACATGAGAACAGCCAGCCTATACATGAGAACAGCCAGCCTATACATGAGAACAGCCAGCCTATACATGAGAACAGCCAGCCTATACATGAGAACGGCCAGCCTATACATGAGAACAGCCAGCCTATACATGAGAACAGCCAGCCTATACATGAGAACGGCCAGCCTATACATGAGAACAGCCAGCCTATACATGAGAACAGCCAGCCTATACATGAGAACGGCCAGCCTATACATGAGAACAGCCAGCCTATACATGAGAACAGCCAGCCTATACATGAGAACAGCCAGCCTATGCATGAGAACAGCCAGCCTATACATGAGAACGGCCAGCCTATACATGAGAACAGCCAGCCTATACATGAGAACAGCCAGCCTATACATGAGAACGGCCAGCCTATACATGAGAACAGCCAGCCTATACATGAGAACAGCCAGCCTATACATGAGAACAGCCAGCCTATACATGAGAACGGCCAGCCTATACATGAGAACAGCCAGCCTATACATGAGAACAGCCAGCCTATACATGAGAACGGCCAGCCTATACATGAGAACAGCCAGCCTATACATGAGAACGGCCAGCCTATACATGAGAACAGCCAGCCTATACATCGGGCCTAGAATTTCACCAAGCACAGCATACCAATGTATACACGGTGACTCAACTGTGCATAGACTGCAATACACGAAAAATAAGAACGGTCTAGGCTAGAAGGCCGACCCCCCCCCCCCCCCCCAGTTCTTCGGCGACCAACAGAACTGTAGTGCTGGAATATGTGGCGTAAGACGATACCTTCACATGAAGGCTTCTTTCTCAGAATATGGTACTCGTATACACCAAAAATGAGAATTTTGTTTTTGTATTGCCTGATGTTCTGAGTCACAGCGAATCTGGTCAAGCCTATTTTCTTCTCATCCCAGGCTCAGTACACTGTATAACCTTCAGAAAAGCGATGTCAAAACCGATCCAACAATAGAAAATACTAGAAGCCAAGAAACTGTTGCAGATTGCCACTTTCCCAGAACATGACAAGAGGAGGCTTATCTGCTGTAGCAGCACTGGGATGATGATCTGAGTCTGCTGTCTACATAATTATTTGAGTGATTTTTTTGTCATGACTATAGTTCACACTGATCGTTGCACTACGGTTCGGAAACGTGTATTGTCCTGCTCATCCTGCTCTTGTAGATCATGAGGTCTGGTTGCAACCCGAATCTGGGCAGTTTCGAGGGACTGCCGTGCCTGCACGCCATCATCCTCGGCCAGCACACAGCTTCACTAAAAGTGCTGCTCAGTTACAGTGCCGATGCCAACGTGTACGATGCCGAAGGAACCAGTGCACTCCAGGCCGCAGCATTCAGTGGCAACCAAGCGGCGGTGACTGAGCTGCTCCTGAACGGAGCGAGGCCTGATGACCAGGTAAAGAATTTTACTCATATGTCAGGAACGGGCTTGTGCTTCTCCATCCTGGTTTGATTTGGCCTGGTGTGCAATGTATACCAACAGTGTATATGACTATATGCAGTGTAAAGTATTAAGGGTAAATCCGTTATGACTGTATTTTGCCGTAACAATCATCTACCCTGAAGATTTTTACTGTAGTACCCTGTGGAAATGCTGACATCGGGCGCTTGGCTCTTTCTGTCTGCACCAATACAGGGCTCCTCTGGGTTAACTCCGCTGCATCTTGCATCTGGTAGCGGTCACGATGAAGTCGTGGAGGCGCTGCTTCAGCGAGGTGCTGCCGTCAATGTCAGATCGTTTGCGGAAGAAGAGTAAGTGAAATTCAAATCGACAAGAATAGGAAACGCATGTTATAAACTGACAAATCGATGTGTTTCTAATTGGGGATGAATCAGGATCACTCTTCCATTGTTCTCAGCATGTCTCTCGGGGCCATCACAGGGCAGTGGGGAGTGGCATGACCAGGGGTGCAGGGTGTCCCCGAAAAAAAATCAGATATTTCGGCTAACAGGGCAGGCACATTTTAGCGTTCTTCTATGGCTTTTGGATGAACTGGGCGGGCCATCCTGGACAAAAAGCGGTACGATCTTTTACTGGCCCGTACCGTGTGTGACGCCGCTGTATCTGTTGTTTTCCGACTGGTTCTGCAGCATCACAGCACTGGACGCAGCCAAGCAGAATGGCCATGACGGATGTGCAGCCATATTGCAACAGTGCGGTGGCATGACGATGGAGGAGATCCAGAGCAAGGCAGCGACGATAATTCAAGCCGTCTCCCGGGGCTACCTGTAAGCACTGCCGTACAGTCACTGGTAGATCTGTTTTGACTTTGATTGTGCACATCATAAGGGTGACTTGAATAGGGGAACAACCATAGTGGCTTGAATAGGGGAACAACCATAGTGGAGAGAATGGCACATCCTGTAGTAAAGGACAACACAAATGAGAAGGGGCAGTGCAATGAAGTGTGGTTGCTACATGTGTGATGCCACTGTGTCAACGTATCCTGTATCCTGCTCTGGGTGTGCTACATAATGTAATGCAGGGCCAGACAAGTGAGCCGGCAGCTCAATGAAACGTCGTAATTACATACGTGACATTACTGTGTCAATGTATTCGGTTTTGTTCTCTGTGTAGTGCATACCGTAAAGTCGCGGATAAAAGCCGGGCTTATAAGCACATAAGCCGCTTTCTGCATCAGGCTTCAATGCAAACCAGGCTTGTATGCAAACCATGCTTATATGCACCACTGATATTTTTGCCAGGCTTGTATGCACATCGGCCGATCCGGGCTTGCATAGAAGCCAGGCTTCTACGCGCGACATGCGTAGATTTACCACTGACTACCGGTATGGCGGCAGTTTTACTATGCACTGTACATAGCGCATGCACTCTTGACCTACTCGATCCGCGCTTGCATAGAAACCAGGCTTCTACGCGCGACAGGCTTATATGCTTTGACCCGTTTGATTTTCAGGCTTCTATC